GTTGCAAAGATTTGAAAAAAAAAATCTTGTATGCCTTGTTTTGTGTAAGGAAGCAAAAGTGAAATTGAAAGTGTCTTGCCATGACTTGATTTGATTGAACCATGCTGAAATTACTTGTTTGAAAGGTTGATGGTTGCTTGTAAATTTTGCATGATTTACCTTGGATGAAAATTAGTGCAAGACTTGAATTTACTTGATTTTGGATGTGAAAATTCATGAAATTTACTTGAGTAAATTGCTGGAAAAAAAAAGTGATGATGTGAGATATGTACTATTCATCCTTAGTAATTGTGTTTGGAGAACCTTGAGGTATGTTTAAAGTGATGCTTGGCTGGAAATTTAGATTACTTACTATTAATTATGAATTATGCTATGGAATTGCTATTTGAGAGCATCACATGCATCATTGGCATACCTTTATGAAAGAATAGATGAATCATAACAATGTGCAGCGAAAATGATTGTGTAATATTGCAATGTTGATAATCTAGAGCCTTTGAGGGCTCTTTGATGGAAATGGACCATGAATATGATTGGATTTATTGGAAATGATATAATCTAGTTGTGTTATGAGTGATTGGGTATGGAGAATGAAAAATCAGCATGTGACCTATGAGGAAAAATGTGAAAAATCGAGAGGATAGGACTTTAAACATTTGTGAATTAAGTTGATTAAGTTGGTGGTATAGAAAGAACCTAAATTTGATTGATCTTCCCTATTCAAGAATGAAAAACCGAGAGGTAATACCCTAAGATTATTGTGAATCAACTTTATTAATTAATGGTTTAGAGAAGAATTAAGTTTGAGGATTTGCCCTTTCATGGAGTGAAAAATCGAGAGGAAGAAATCAAGAGAGCAAGAGTTTGAGTGAAACGATTTATGGTTTAGAAGGCGTTAGAGGTTGATGGAAATAAATGTAAAGGTTAGGATGAACTTGAAAGGATAATTTACAATAGATTGAGGAATGAGATTGTGCTAAGTGGAAAGAGAGATTAGACTTGAAATGTGAAAGAAAGAGTAACTTGAGAAAAAGGAAATGAATTATGAAGGCTTGAATGATTTACCTAAGTTGTGGTCCAATATATTACGTGCTGCACTAAAATTATCCATGATTGTGAAATTATAAAACCATGAGACAATGAAATTATGATGAGAAATCTATATTATGCCCTGAGTTCTTGAAATATATTGTTTGAAATTATTATGAACTCAATGAGATTTATTGTGAAACTCATGGTATCTATCTATCCATGCTAAGGCATGTGACTCATGGAGATTATCTATCCATATTGCTAAGTCTATGATGACTTTTAGCTTATGCTATATGCTATGATTCTAAGTCCATGGTGACTTCTATTATTACTGTGCAATAGCCCAAGTGGCTAAATGATATGAGTTGAGAAAACTATCACAAGAAAACTAAAAATACTACTTCATGCATCATATATTATCTTGTGAAATGACTTGATGGCATTACAGAGGCACAACTGTAGGTATTGGAAGTTTGGTCCAAAGTATACCTTCTTGGGGTGGCGAAAGGGGGAACATCCGACCTAAGTGGCACATGGCAGCTGAGCTCCCTGTAGCTGGGTCGTGACCCGCTTACCAGACCTTAGCCAAACCTGACATGAACTCCATAATACTAGAGTCGTAGAGGTCCATTCCTAAACGTGCCGGATGGCACTACACATCAATGATGTGCTATTATTCTATTTTCCTATCTATGATATCACTGTGCAGAGTAGGGAATGGAGTCCTCCGATCGCCATATGACTTGAATCTATCTATCTATCACTATGCTAAAAGCTGGGGAAGTCGCCAGTCATAGAGGAATGAGATCCCCATGCATCATTTGCATGCTATTAACACATGAGTGACTATATGGGTGAGATTGAAACCTGCATTCATGCATCATGTGCATTATTATTAGGGATGATTGACTACTTGTGATGTTGGCTATGATTGTGATTACATTTATCTCCTTATTATATGATTGAACCTTGGATGATGCTGAATGTGGATTGTTAAATTGAATTGTGACTATGACGCCGCCTTCCTTGGGGTATGGCTATTGAATGATGTTTGTGTTTGGAGAACTCACCCTTGTGTTGTGTTGTCTTGTATTGCTTTTCTTTTATTTATATAGATGGACAGGAACAGGGTGAAAGTGTGGATCCTTCCTTCTAAGGAGGATATGTGGGTGTTCGACTCCGCGGTTCAACAAAGTGTCTTCCGCGGGTTCGCCCACATGATTCATGGATTTGATAGTGGAGGCTCATGGATCACCCAGTACGTTGCAGACACACCCATTGCGATTGTCTTTTCTGTCCCTCTTGGTGACACTTAGTTACCTTACCCTGCCTTGTTTACTTCCCCGACTCTCATGTCGATTGATCCTCGTACTCCTACTGCTAGGCCAGCTCTTGCGCCTGTGCCTGTGCCATTTACTTTGACTACTCCTACTTCTCCACCCGTGCCAATAGAGAGAGATATCCATGTGGTGGAATCCTCCATTAGGTACACTACTATGCCTTCTTACATGCATCCTGCATACCTGTCCACTTTGGTTTCACCTACTGTTGCCCCTTCACCTCCTCACACAGCTGGAAGGATGGAGGAGGATGGTGGAGGTCATGGCACGACCGCTGCTTCTAGTTCTACTTTCTCGACATCATTTGATGAGTCTGATCCCATTGAGGATTATTCGCCTCTTGATTGATGTCGTTATTTACTTATGTTTTAGTAGAACTGCTCTTAGGGAGTTTGGTCTGTTTCTACTTTGATTATGTTGTATTTGAACTATGTTGACCGTATTGTTAATCATGAACCTATCGTTTCCGCAAACTATGATTAATATATTTGAGGTATTTTCTGATGATGAGTTATGATGATCTTATATGGGTATATCATTAAAAATTGGATCATGAAATGATGAAAAAAAAAGAATATATATATATGCATGCATGTTAACTCTCTCTTAGAGAAAGAGAACTATACTCGTAAACTACATGAAGAAAAAAAAATATTACCAGATTTTGGTGTTTTCTAAACTATCATGTTATATAGTTGGTACCAATGTTTTATGAAATTGGGTCGCTACATAGAGCCTTTACTATAAGTTACATTTAGATAGTTATGAAAGTAAGGGTTTTTCAATTCAAACTACCTAAGAGAAGTTAGGGTTTGGGATCAACTCCCTATACCTTGGAATGAAGATCCAATCACGAAATAACAGTAGAAAACGTCCCTCACATAGTGTTTCACCCTAGATACATTGAAAAATTACATGAGAAATCAAAAGAACAAGGAAAAAGGTAAAGACTGAAAACCCTAGCTCACAATACTTACCTCCAAACGTTCCAAATGTGATTCCAACCTTCAATCTTACACATAAACATGTTTGGAGGCAATTCAATCAGTGAAAAAGGGCTAGGGATTGTGAGAATCAAGATAGAAATGAAAGGGGTAGTGGGAAATGCGTATTCCTCAACCTTAAACCCCTTAAATATCCTATGAGTCACGACACTCTCATTACAGTGAGGCACCTCTTGCTACAGCGAGACTCCTCGTTGCAGCGAAAATATCAGACGAATCTGCACTCAGTTTTCTGCATAATCTCGCTACAGCGAGACTAAGCCCAGAAACTTACCCCCCCTCTCTGTTTCTTTCTCGCTATAGCAAGAACGCAATAGAGGCAGCCAACTCGCTCAGGACCTTCTCGCTACAGCGAGAATGTCCTTGCAGCACACACTTAGCCTATTTCTCAATCAACTTTGGCCAATCCAAGTCAATACTCACATATATTATTATTGGACTTATTTGTGATAATTAGGTTAAGTGATAATTTGATTTTATTCAAGATCTTGTTCAATTAAGTTATTCGATTGAATTGATAATTGGATTGAGTAATTATTCAAATTCAGATTAAAATCTTTAGATAATATGCAATTAGAATTACATGCATTTGAGATTCTGTGAATTGATAATTTTTAATCTATCTTTTTCTTCAAGTTAATTGCGTTCACAATTTTAATTTAATTGATTGATTACTTCCTTTTGTTTTAAATTTTGCTCTATCGATTTTTGTTAAATTTCCCCATTTAAATTTTAATTTAATTGATTGATTACCTGCTTTTGTTTCATTCCTTCCTCCTAGGGCATTCTCGCTACAATGAGAAATTTCTTGCTACAGCAAAAACACCTTGCACCACATACTCAGCCTATTTCAATAGTTCAATTCCAACCACAAATCAACATATATATATATATATATATATATATATATATATATACACACACACACGTATTAGCATCCTAAAAAGGTCACATACACACATTCACATCATCATCGTGTAAATCAACACACCACATATGGCAATTCACATATATATTAATAATTAAACAATATTACAAAATTCGAGGTGTTACAGTGAGTGCACCAGTTGTAATTTGAAATAGAATATATGGAAAGTGTTGTCTGTAATTGATTATGTTTGCGTAGAAAGTGTTAGAATACATGTGGAGTGTGCAAGGTGAGTCTTTATGTTTATGTGTGTTGGATAGTGTAAAGTACTTTCCCTTACATTTATTTTTAGGTGATCAAGACGATCAGCACCGAGCTTAGTGAAGGGATGAATGAAACTGCTATAGGGCTTATATTTTATTTTAAAATTATGATATAATTGAATTAGTCATATAACAGTCATTGATATAAACTTGTAATCCCTTATTATTTTGAAATGCTTGATGAAACTCTGTGATGGAAAATTATATTTAAATGAAAAATTTATTATTCCCATTTTTGTGAAATTTATTATTTTGAAATTAAATTAAGGTGTTACAATTTTGGTATCAAAGCAGTTCATCCAAATCGGACTAGGGTATCGGGCTGAAGCGTCCAAGCTGAGTGTTGATGTGTTTTGATTACCTGAAATTTGATTGTTGTTATTGATCCAACAAATTCAGTGTGTTGTTGCATTATTTGCTAGCTTGGATTAGAATGGCTAGTAGAGGTAGAGGAGCTAGAGGCACCAATGCTCTCATAGAGCGTATGGCTCAAATTTTGGAAACCTTGGCGCATAATCAAGGCGGAGAGCCAGCTGAATACCGAGGGTTGTCTGCCTTCACTAGGCATGATCCTCCAAAGTTTGAGGGAGGATTTGACCCTGAGGGAGCCCAAAGATGGTTGGCCAACATAGAGAAGATCTTCCATGCAATGGGGTGTTGGGAAAAGCACAAGGTGAACTATGCCACCTACATACTATGTGGGAAGGCAAAAGATTGGTGGAGGTTTGCCAGTCAGACGTTGCCACAAGAGGGTGGCTACATCTAGTGGGAGACCTTTAAGGCGATTTTCCTAGGAAATTACTTTCCCCAGGATTTGAAGAAGCAGAAAGTTAGAGAGTTCTTTGAGCTGAAGCAAGGAAGCATGACAGTGGGGGAGTATGCAGCAAGGTTCCAAGAACTGATGAAGTATTGGCCTCACTATCAATATGAGGATGAAGAGGAGGACTTGTGTGCTCAGTTTAAGCATGGACTGAGGTCAGACATCTGAGCTGTAGTCACTATGTTTCAACTGACGGACTTGTCCACCTTGGTAAGCAAGAGCAGAATCTTTGAGGCCAATTCAAAAGGGAAGATAGTGGAAACTAGGGGAGCCAGTCCAATGAGGCAAGAGAGAAGAACCCCTAGATTCTCTAAAGGGCCATATTTGGGCTCAAGTAATTCACAGTCCAGAGGGACTTCATCACAAGAAAAGAGCAGTATGAGTGACTTAGGATTAGACTCTTTCAGAGGGCTGATCAAATGCTTCAGGTGTGGAGGGCCACACATAGTGAGGGACTACCCACAGTCACGGACAACTTGTAGCAACTGTAGGAAGTTGGAACACACTGCCAATGTGTGCTGGGCTGCTAAGAGGAGTGAGAGTGCTAGTATAGCTCAGAGGCCTGAGTTGAGAGGAAGCACGGGGTCAAGCATGGCGCCGAAGCTGAGTATTCCTGGTAGGGTCTTTGCCATGAACGAAGCAGAGGCTTCATAATCTGAGGAGTTGATCAGAGGAAAATGCATTATTAAGGGTCGACTGTTGGATGTGTTGTTTAATTTGGGTGCTACGCACTCTTTTGTATCTGTGGATTGTGTGAAGAGTCTAAATTTGTGTGTGACTGAATTGCCATGTAATATTGTGGTGACTACCTCAACGAGTAAGCCAGTTGTAACGTCGTGCGTGTGTTTGGGGTGTTCAATGATGGTGCATGGTAGGGAGTTTGAGGTGGACTTGATCTGTTTACCTCTTTCCCAGTTGGATATAATTTTGGGGATGAATTGGCTAGTTGCCAACCATGTACTGTTAGATTGTAGAGAGAAGAAGACTTTGATCTTCTGTGTGACAATGACAGAGGTTCCAAGGCTTATGAGCCAAGATGCGTGGGAGAACACGGTAAACGCCAAGGCCTTTATAATCATGTTTTCAATAGAGGTCGAAAGCATGGTAGAGCCGAAGTCCATCCCAGTGGTGAGGGATTTCTTAGAAGTTTTCCCTGAAAATGTTTCTGAGTTACCGCCTCAGAGGGAAATAGAATTTGCTATTGACCTCATTTTGGGGGCAAGCCTGATTTCTGTGGTACCTTATAGGATGTCACCAGTGGAGTTGGCAGAGGTCAAAAAGCAAGTAGAAGACTTATTACAAAAGCAATTTGTAAGACCGAGCATGTCACCATGGGGAGCATTAGTGCTTTTGGTGAAGAAGAAAGATAGGAGCATGAAGATGTGTGTGGACTATCGACAGCTGAACAAAGTGACGATAAAGAACAAATATTCACTCCTGAGGATCGACGATTTGATGGACTAGTTAAGAGAAGCTGCAGTGTTTTCTAAAATTTACTTGAGATCGGAGTACCATCAAATCAGAGTGAAGGATGAGGATGTACCTAAGACGGCGATCAGGACGCGGTATGGTCACTATAAGTACTTGGTAATGTTGTTTGGAGTGACCAATGTGCCTGCGGTGTTCATGGACTACATGAACAAGATCTTCCATGAGTTTTTGGATAAGTTTGTGGTGGTGTTCATTGACGACATCCAGATTTATTCGAAGACTCAAGAGTAATAGCACACCGAGCACTTGAGGATTGTTTTGCAAATTCTGAAGGAGAGGCAGTTGTATGCAAAATTCTCCAAGTGTGAGTTCTAGCTGTCAGAGATCAAGTTTCTGGGGCATGTAGTGTTGAAGGAAGGAATCATGGTGGACTCTGCGAAAGTGGAAGCGTTAGCTGGATGGCAAAGACCGACGAATATGACTGAGGTGCGCAGTTTTCTGGGACTAGCAGACTATTGTAGAGAGTTCATTGAAGGATTTTTTAAGTTAGCTTTGCCTTTAACAGGGAATTTAAATGGAGCAAAAGGTGTGAAACTTGTTTTTTAGAGCTAAAAATAAAGTTGACTTCAGCACTTGTGTGGGTTCTGCTTGACTCGAAGCGAAAGTTTGATGTGTACTGTGATGCATCCGGGTATAGACTTGGGTGTATTCTGATATAAGATGGATGAGTGGTTGCTTATGTCTCAAGACAGTTACGCCCATATGAAGTCAACTATCCGATGCATGATTTGGAGTTAGTTGCGGTGGTTTTTGCTCTTAAGGTATGGAGGCACTATCTATATGGAACAAGGTTTGAGGTGCTCAGTGACCACAAGAGCTTGAAGTATCTGTTTGATCAAAGGGAGTTAAACATGCTACAGAGGAGGTGGATGAAATTCCTTAAGGACTACGACTTCACGTTGTCTTACCACCCTAGCAAGGCAAACGTGGTGGCTGATGCGTTGAGTAGGAAGTCATTGCACGTGGCAGCAATGATGGTAAAGAGATGGAACTGATTGAGGAATTTCAGGACATGAACTTGACCATGGAGGTGACGCCGGAGAGTTTGTATCTCGGAGCAACGACGATTCATAATGACTTATTGGTGTACGTCTAAGATGCTCAGCAAGGGGATGCTTTCTTGCAATACATGATGAGGCAAAAGAGTGAAGGGAAAGACTTGGAGTTCTATTGTGATGAGAATGGGGTGATCAAGTTTCAGAACCGAGTGTGCATTCTCCAAATGAATGAGTTGAGACAGATGGTGCTTGAGAAAGCACATAAGAGCAGGATGAGTTTTCACCCCTGTGTGACCAAAATGTATCTGAATCTCCGGAAGAGTTTTTGGTGGAATGAGATGAAGAGGGACATAGCCGAATACATGGCTAGATGCCTAATCTACTAGAAGGCGAAGGTAGAGCACCAACATCCACCTAGGTTGCTGCAACCATCAGAGATCCCTGAGTGAAAATAGAACAGTATTTCCATGGACTTTGTTTCTGGTTTGTTGAGGACCAGGAACAAACATGATGTCATCTAGGTGATAGTGGATCGATTGACTAAGGCTGCACACTTCTCCCGATTAACATGAAGTATAAGTTGGAGAGACTTGCGGATTTATATGTGAGGGAGATAATCAGGCTCCATAAAGTGTTAACTAGTGTGGTGTCTGATAGATACCTGAGGTTTACCTCAAAGTTTTGGGAGAGCCTATAGAGGGCATTGGGTACTAAGTTGAAACTTAGTTCGGCTTATCACTCACAGACCGATGGTTAGACGGAAAGGACTATCCAATCCCTAGAGCATCTTTTAAGAGCCTGCATAATTGAGCAACAAGAGATTGGGAAGAATGCCTGCTGCTAGTGGTGTTCACGTACAATAACAGCTATCATGCCAGCATTGGAATGGCACTATTCGAGACTTTGTATGAGAAAAGGTGTAGAACTCTATTATGTTGGTATGAAACTAAAGAAGTGGCTTTGTGTGCACTGGATATGATCCAAAAGCAGAATAAGCATATCAAAATGATCAAAGAGAAGATGAAGGCCACACAGGACAAGCAAAAGAGCTACTATGATAAGAGGAGGAAGTCATTGGAGTTTTAGGTGGGTGACCATGTGTTTCTGAAGTTCTAACCTGTGACTGGAGTTAGGAGAGCTCTGAAATCTTGGAAGCTATCTTCTAAGTTCATTAGGCCATTCAAGGTGCTGAGTAGAATTGGTCCTGCCACGTATCGAATAGCGTTACCTTCGAATCTCTCAAATCTACATATGGTGTTTCATGTGTCACAGCTCAGGCAGTATGTGCTAGATCCTTCTCACGTGATCGATCTTAACCCGGTTCAAGTGAGAGAGAACTTGTCCTACGATGTGTACATAGTGAGGATTGTTAACCACCGTGTTAAGAAATTGAGGGGCAAGGAAATCTCATTGGTGAAGGTGATTTGGAGCTCAAGTGACGAAGGAGATGCCACATGGGAAACAAAGAGTAGGATGAGAGAGATGTATTTATAGTTATTTGTTTAGCTGGATTGAATTTCGGGGTCGAAATTCCCTAAAGGAAAGGAGAGTTGTAACGTCTTGGATTTTGTAATAATATTTTAATGTATTAATGTAAATATAATTGATATATTGAGTGTGCATTTGATTGTGTAATGATTTGAATATAACTATGATTATGAAGATGCATGAATATGTGGTTAAAATGTGATGTGGACTTGTGCTTAAGCATGATTGTTGATGGTTGACGTCTGTTTTGGGTTGGAGTTGTGTGAGTATATAGGTTAAGTTTGTAGTGCAAAGGTGTTCTCGCTACAGCGAAAGGACCCTGAGAGGAAGGCATGAAACTACCGCCTTCTCGCTATAGCAAGAAGGTCTTGCTGTAGCAAGATTTTGCAAAAACCAAGGTGTTGATAAATCCACATTTACTATATTTTTAGCCTAGTTTTTGTTAGTAAAGAAGGAGTTAAATAGTAAATAAACTTGAAAATATCATAAAAATTGCATTAATATTCATAATTGTACAAATAGTTTAGAATTTTATATTTTATTCCAATTCTGGATAATTTTGCTTAAAAAGACTTAATTTTGTGCAGAAGCTTGAGCTGAAGATGTTTGAGTTGAAGATTGAAGTGAAGAAAGTAAAGGAATTGAGCTTAAAAGATGAAGAATCAAGTGTTACGTGTTGGGTGTAGCCACTTTGAATGCATAGAGTTAACACTTTGAAGAAGAAAATTCATGAAGATCAAGAGAGTAGCTACTTCAAGTGTTCAGAGTAGCTACGCAATTGAGCGCGTAGCCACTTCAAGTGCCTAAAGTAGCTATGCAATGCGTATAGCCACTTCAAGCGTTCAGAGTAGCTATGCTCAAGGCTAATTCAGAACTGCACAATGCGCGTAGCTACTTCAAGTGATTAGAGTAGCTACGCAATTGAGCGCGTAGCTACGTCAAGTGCCCAGAGTGGCTTCGCAGTCAGCGTGTAGCCACCTCAAGTGCTCAGAGTGTCTACGTAAAAGTAACAGAATTTTAAATATCACTTCTAAGTGTCAACTTTGGACGATTTGAGTTCCTAATTCAGTTATAGAAGCTTCTAGAAGACCTTTCATGCTATAATCCTCAGAGATTAAAGTGTGGAAGTGGAAAAGGAGGGAAAACATTATAAATAGAAGTTAAGAGTTCAGAATTGGAGGTCTTTTGCCATTTTTTGTTTTCTTTTCATTTCCACACCTTAGGAGAGTTAGAGAGGGAGATTGGTGGTGACTTCCAAGCTCTGGACCTTGAGGAATCAGGCTGGGGATTGGATTTATGAAGAAATTCTGCAGTTTCTCTTCTTCTAATCTTTCTCTCCCTTTTCTCTTTTAGGAACATATTATGATTTCTTTTTGTTAGGGATCTATAGATCCAGATTTGATATTGTGATGTAATTTTAGATCTGGACCTTGAGGTTTTGATTGAATTGAGTATATGATTCTGTTCTTAATGCAATTGTGAACTAATCCTTCATTTAATTGAACCTAGAGGAATTTTCATCAATGGAAATTGAGTTTATTTCTCATATCTGAATCATATGCCTAGGTTATTAAGATCTTAGGAATAAGTATCATAATCTAGTAATCCTATAATTTCCAGAACTTAATGCAATATTTGATTGAATTTCACCTAAGGAATTAGGGAGGTTTAATTAGGTATTAGGATCAATGAGACAAGGAATTGTCCTTTGGTTAAAGAAGTGAAATTGATTATCAATCAATTAGAATTCTTAAGAGTCCAGAACATGATTACATTGCAATTGAAAGTCTGGTGAAATGATTCCTAACTATTTTTCACATAGCATTTTAATACAAAATTCGTATTCTGTTTTGCTGTATTTTTTAGATTTCTGCACTTTGTTGCTTTTGTTTGTTAAATGATTCAAAACACTTCAAATTCGTTTGGCTCAACTAGTTATTGATTTGTGAAGTGGTAATTGATAAATCTAATCCCTAAGGACGATACTTGGGACTCATATTGATTTCCAAATTTTATTACTTGCTACATCTACCTAGTACACTTGCTAGTTAGTTCTCCAAATTTGTGACAGGTGTAGTTTCCTTTGAGATTTTTGCTATAACGACAAGGGGCGTCGACGAGAGTATCTCGCTGTAGCGAGAGTATCGCGACCAGAGGATATTTGAAGGGTCTAGAATTTGAAAAACACATTCCCACTTTTCTCACTTCATCTCCCTTTCGATTCTCTCTATTTCTAAGCCATTCTTACCAATTAAACTGCCTCTAAAGTCGTTCGTGAGTTGGATTGAAGGTTGGAATTACGTTTGGGGCGTTTGGAGATAAGTGTTAATGGTTAGGGTTTCGGTTTCTCCTCTTTATTCCCTGTTTTCTCGGTCTTCTATGGTTTCTCATGAAGTTTTCTATGTGTTTAGGATGAAATTTGTGTGGGAGCTCCTTCCTTGTTGATTTGGTGCATAGGTCTTCGATTTGAGGTAAGGAGGGACTCTACCCTATCTCATTATGTTTGAATGTCATGTGGATGGTTTGGAATGTGTGTGTTTAGTAGAATTAATTGATTGATTGTGGTGAGAGTGCGGTGGAAATATTGAATAGAGTATAGTGTCATGAATGTTGAATAGCGTGTATGATGAAATAAATTCATGAATGTGGATTATGTTGAAAAATGTTGTATGTATGGAATTGTTGTGCGTTAAATGTAATGCGAATAAATGTGGGCATTTTTGCCGTGTAATGTGAATGAATATGGGCATATGTGCCTGTATGAATATGAATACTGTATATGGCTGAAAATGTGTGTGAAAGGGCATGTTAAATACAATTGTGAATATGTTATGAATGGCTCAGCGATATAATAAAGGTGTGGAAGATGGGGACGATAGAAATACCTTGGGGAAAAGAGAGTGGTGGTGACATCAACAATGAGTGTGGGTGCACCACAGGCCATACACTCTTCTCCTGACTAGATCTTGGACCAGCATCTTTGTCGAGCTACTCGTGACTGCACACGTGGTATCCGTAAGGTGAGGGTAATCGGCGACCATCCATGGTATGAAACTGTGATTATAGTACCACGATGAGCGTGGCTATATGCAGTGAGAGCACGTGTGTGAAATGTGTTGGTGCAATGAGCGCACTGATTGTAATTTGAAATGGAATGTGTGGAAAGTATTGTCTGTGATTAATTATGTTTGTGTAAAAAGTGTTAGAATACATCTGGAGTGTGTAAGGTGAGTCTCTATGTTTGTGTGTATTGGATAGTATAGAGTACTTACCCTTACATTTATTTTCAGGTGACCAAGACGATCAACACCGGGCTCAGTGAAGGGATGGATGAAATTTCTATAGGACTTAGATTTTATTTTGAAATTACGATGTAATTGAATTAGTCCTGTAGCAGTCATTGATATAAACTTGTAATCCCTTATTATTTTGAAATGCTTAATGAAACTTTGTGATGGAAAATTATATTTAAATGAAAATTTTATTATTCTTATTTTTGCAAAATTTATTATTTTGAAATTAAATTAAGGTGTTACAACCATTATATGTCGTGGTTCTTTTTACTTGATCCATTATATGCTAGTTAACTTATTGATATGACACTAAATGGTTCATATTTTAGGGATTATTACCAGTCATTCAGGAGTTGTTTCCTGGAGTAGAACAAAGGTTGTGTCAGACACTTGTATAATAATTTCAGAAAGATATATCCAAGTAAACAATTAAAAGAGCTTATGTGGAAGGCAGCAAAAGCAACTTATTTACAAGAATGGGAAAGACATATGAAAGAAATAAGGACCACTAATGAAGAAGCATTCAAACATCTCAAAATTCCTTCAAGATATTGGGCAAGTCAAGATTTTCTTTCCAATCTAAGACTGTTGTGGTGGTAAACAACATGTCTGAAACTTTTAATAGAGTTATTGTAGAACCTAGAGCAGAGCCCATTATTACTATGATGGAAGACATTAGGATTTATTTAATAGAAATGTGGGCTGCCAATAGAAAAAAGCAACATTGTTAACAAGAGATATATTGCCAAATATACTAAAAAGGCTACAAAAACATCTAGTTGAATCAAGATGATGGTTGCCAAGGTATAATTTTCATGATACTTTAACTTTTTAATACAGTTCATTTTAGTCCTCTAAAATTTAAATTAGCTTTATTTCAGTCCTCAAATTATTTAAAATGAATTATTTTAGTCCTTTAACTATTTCAAATTGATTCATTTTAGTCTTATATTACAACTTACACTTATTTTCATTTTTGTAAGGTGATCTAGACAACATATGTTCGAGGTCTGACATATTAATTTGAAGGGAGATAAGTTTGTGATGAACCTTGAACTAAAAGAATGTTCTTGCAGAATATAGATGCTTACTAGAATACCTTGCTGTCATTCAATTGCTTCCATAAACCATGTTAATATCAATCCTGAAGACTATAATCCTATTTATTATAGGAAACATCATTATGCAGCAGTTTATAAGTCTATCATATATCTAGCAAATGGACCTAATTTGTAGAAATCTACTGACTACCTCGACATTTTACCCCTACCAATCAAGAAAAAATTTGCAAGGCCAAAGAAGTCAAAAAATAAAGATACATCTGAGAAGGTTGTTAAGGAAAACAAATCGAGTAGGAAATGAATGACCGTTAAATGCAACAAATGTGGAGTAAGTGGCCATAACAAAGCTACTTGCAAATTAACACAACCTACTGGAACAGAGGCATTGACAAGTTATACTCAAAGTTCAGGCACTTCTCAAGTTCTAGTTGATGGTTAAATACGAATGAAGATGTGTACTTGAAAATATCAACACAGTTAAATGTATTATATAGGGATAATGTGTTTTTTTTTTTTTTGCTTTACGTTTTGTTCAGTTTGGTTGGAAAATATATTATGTGGGGCTTGTATTTTGTCCTTGTTCTTTTGTTAATGTCATAACATTATATGTTAATCAATTTTTATTCTCAGTCTCAGCGAAGATTTCTTATCTCACATTCATATTTCAAGATAATATATATGCTGAAAATATTATTGCATTAAAGATAAAAGAATCCATAAAAAGCAATAACATAACAGCAGGACCATGACTTAATCAAACCACTTTTTCATAGTGCATTTACAGAAATTACATCCCTAAACAATAGTGGTTTTCTGCTAAACAACGTGAAAAATAATAACATTACTACTAATACATTAATAAACACACTAATACTTAAAATATAACTTAAAATTTTTTAATTTTTTCTTGCTAATTTTGAGTAAGTTCTGAAGATGCACAATTCTTCTCCTTTGCCTCAGTATAACAATTTTATTATTTTCAACTTCATTGTCTTCTCTCCACTTGAAAACCCACAACTCTCACCAAACTGAAAAATGATACAATAGATTGGAACACAAATTGGTTAAACTTATTTATACACAAATATAAAATTCAGTTATTTAATCTTACAAATTTACCTCATAGTTTCTACATCTTCAAAAATCCCTTCCCATATTTATTGTTGTAGTTGTTATGCGATAAACACTCTTTACACCGTAGTAACAAAATGAATGGCCAACCCCTCTGCAAGCAGAAGTCGTCGATGATTATGAGTCCATCAAAGCCCCAGCCTTTGTTTTGTTATTTTCAAGAGACGTAGAATCCTAATTCATATACCCTAACTCGATTGTAAAAAGAAGAGACATAATATAACATTTTTCAATCAATTTTTAAATAAAAATTTTCAGGTAAAATTAAATGAACGCCATTAGTGTCACATATGATGCTTCTGTTATATTCTTTAACAGTTGTTATGGAAAGGATTAACATAAAAAAAAAAAAAACTTAGAGGACTAAATAAAAAAAAAAAGAAAGATACAGAATGAAAGTGAATTTTATCCTAGAGACTAAAAGACTAATTTTGTCATATAAAAATAAAATAAATTTAATTTCTTGGATAAGTTAATAAAAATAGAAAAATATTTGTATTTAACTTCTTCAAAATTTAAGATCCATGTATTAATTTTAACTTATAAAAAAAGTTTAGTTGATGCTACTTTTTTTATTTTTTTCTTTGGTGAGTAATTATTTAAAACTTTATCCCAGTTGAACCTTTACTAAAAGTGCACTTGCTTTTTTTTTTTTTTTTTTCTTTTTAAATAATCACTTTTTAGTTTAATAGATTGTAGCTGAGAATGATATGGTTTTTTTGCTGATCAGAATGAATGATATGGTTTTAACTTTTCGGAAGAAGTTATTTTGAATAGCTTATAGAAAAATATAACTACCTACTAAAATAGTATTTTTATATAAAAAAAATAAAAAGTAACTTCTAACATTTATAAAATTTCTAAAAATAAATCGCTCTTTATATATCTTAAAGATAATTTTTTTAAAAATCATAACCAGTTCGAGTTTTGCGTAAGATCAGGCATGCAAATGAATTCAAACGGGACTTTCAAGATAAACTACTGAACCAAATTAAACATGTATGGAAAGTTTAATATTTATTTATATATTTTTTAATTAAATAATTAATTTTACTATTTATTAATATAAAATTAATTATGACAGTACAATAGATTTTACCTTTATCTAAATACAGACACATGTTTGTATTTGTTTTGAGACTATGGTAATGTGAAGGTGGGCTTGTGGGCTGAAGATGTATTGTTTTAGGCTGAGGCCCATGATTTTAGAAAGCGCAGGAAAATCCCTAACTGACCCAGACCACTTCCCACCCAATTTCATGGCATCTGGTTATTTGAAGTTGGGGACAGTTTGTATTTGTGTTGTCTCCGAACAAACTCACAAGGAGAATGAATCCCGCGGAGGCCGCAAACGAAGCCCTCCACAGCGTCGAAGAGGGTTCTGCTGCTAAGACGAAATGCCCTGGCAAGTTCTACGATGTCTATGGACCCCAAGTATGTTTTCATGTCTTTATTTTTCTATTCACATGCGATGCTTCTTCAGAATAATGTTTTGTTTTTCTGTTTTTCTTTTCCTCTTTTGGATGTTAAGTCTGAGCTTTTGTTTGATTAAAATGTGGTTTTAATTCTGAGGAGGTTCTTGTAGATTTGAGCTACTTTGATCTTCAAGTAGTAGTTTGAGTTAAGGCAAAACCGTTCATTTGAATAACTATAATATTATAAATGGGCCTTGTCTTCTTAGCTGATTCTGGATTGTTTGTGCAATACAATTGGGGTGGTCGAATGGTTTCTGAGTTCTCAATTCCTAATTTCCCGTTTCTGTTCGCTAAGGAACTAGTCTTTTTATATTTATTTAATGCTGGTGTTTCATTAGTTGATCCTTTTTAAGTAGTTATGTTGTTCTTTGTGTACAGATACTCAATGTTACTGTCAAACTTGAGAGTTTACGTAAAAATAATATTTAGAAAGCCACAATAATGAAACAAACCACAAATTACAAAGTTAAAATCATACTTAAGTAGTCAAATCATATAATGACAATGTGTTCTTGGTGCCCTAATTCCAAACATTTTCGCAACTTGCAGAGAGGAAAAAAGAATGGTGCCTTAATTCCAAACAGTATCATTTTGGTGAAAAAATGCGATTTCCCTTTTGTTTTACTGAACTCATGGAATCAGGTGTAAACTTGCAAGTTTATCTGAGTTTACTCGAGTTCACTTGAGTTTACCTAAAAACAAGTTTACATGTGATGTGATACAATTTCCTTATTTGAGATCTTAAATCTGTGAGTTAAAACACGACTTTAACAACCATGCCTATACAGTTAAATTGTCCCATCCCATGAAATGCTGAATTACTATGCTGTTATTTTGTTAACTCTTGTACATAAATGGGCTCAGGCATAGATAAATGGTACATGGTAGTTGGTCTTTTAAATGTTGTCCTAAACTGGCATCTACAATAAGTTTGCTATGCTATACTTTTCTTTGTTTGTTTCGTCATGGGGTTTTGTTTTGTTAGTGTATAATTAAAAGGTGTTGGCTAATTGGTTGTGGTTTTGCAGGGCAAGGCAGATGTTGTTTTCAAGTCACAAGAAGATAATTCAACTTTGAACATAAGTGTATGTTTTAACTGCTGTTGTGTAACATGGATTTTGAATCAAAATACTTGTGACGGGGATTTGTATTGTGAAACAGGATGTTCAAGGACTTATAACATGGGTGCTCGGTGAAGGATTTATGCCATCATGGGTTTTTATCAAGGTACAAATTGTCTTTTTTTTTTTTTCTCCAAATTTTTCACGTCAGAAAAATGACCAAATGAATTTTGTTTCTAATTGCTTAGCACTTCTAGTATTCAAAATTGCTTTCATGGTAGGGGCCTAGGGGGAATCACATGAATAGTATCGTGAGTCTTCACCCAATTTAAACAGATTGAGTGTATTGTTTTGTCACTGGAATTGCATGTTGAATCCTATGAATCACATGAATCTTGATTCTGCTGGGATTCCTGCGAAACAGATCATGGTGGGGAAGTGAGGCAAACAGCCACTATGCAGTGACAAACCAATGGTGTGATGCTGTATGTGGACAAAATGTTGTCAATGGAGAAATATTTGACTAAGATGTGTCGTCACCCATTGTTCTATCAGCACATATTGGGGTGTGCTGCCACTCCAGCGGTAACAAGCCTCTTGTGATTGTACAGACTTGAACTGGTGGTGAGGGTGGTTGGAGATGAAATGTGTTGAGTCCAAGCCAACTGGGCCTCCACTTAAGACATACCAGAGAAGGAGGGGTAAGACAGGGAATGTGGGCAGGGAAGCCGTTATGCAAGATTCTAACAGATTAACAAATGAATGACATGGCAAGAGTGAGAGAGCGCGGCTGAGGGAAGGATATATGGTAGATGATCAGAGTGAATAAGGAGGAAAATATCTGGGAGGTTATCGGGGGTGGCTGCTGCCATAGGAGAAGTTTCATTTGTCATTGCTGTCTTTCTGTTATTTCTAGCTTTCTACTTGTATTACCAGGGTATTCCCTGAGCTTTCGTGTTAATACAATAATGCACTCAGTTCCTATCAAAATGCATCTCATATTTGCACATAAGACATGTACAATGACAAAGGAGAGAAAACAAAACAGCAGCCGAACATGAAAGTTAATTTTCTTGCTAGGTTTTAAATATCATTATAAGAGATAAGCTCATGGAAGAATTCCAATTATTACTGTTATAAAAAGGAAATAAGACATTTTTATTATTTCTATACTTGTTTCTAGGGGTGGGCAGCAAACGCTCACCTGCCCGAAACCGGCTTAACCAAAGGAATAAAAAATTAAGTTGGGTGGATCGGGTTGGTTGTTGGGTTACTTAGATTAAAGTGGTCGGCTGGTAGGTTTTGGAATTTGATTTTATCATTATCCAAACTCGACTGAAATACACGCTATATATAAATTTTAAATTATATAATGTGTAATAATCATGTGCATATTGCTGACAAGTGGCTTGGGAACATGGAAAAATTAATTACTGCATGTGTACTATTCTGAAAAGTGTGCACTAATTTGAAATACTTGGCACACCTTACAAGAAGTAGGGTGAATGGATGAATGCATCAGATGTGTTGCAGAATGGTACATTACCATTTCCCAAGCAAATTGGTTGAAATGAAATTTAACATTTAAATTTTAAAATATTTAAAAGGAAAAAATTTAAAACCCCAAATAAAGAATTCTCTTTAACTTTTTTAAGTCCATTTTTAGTTCTCTTTTTTGCTTGTTGCATTATCTCTTCTTTCGTTAGTCATCATTTGTGCCAGTCTCTGAACTATCTATGCTTGTGTTCAATTATCTCAATAGCGGCACTCCTTGCTTTCTCCTTTGGTGTCCCTACACTTTCACTTCCACTTCCACTTGCTTCTAGTTTGATGTTTTCATTATTTTCTCTTTCAAAATAACCTGTCTAGAGAGCATATCTGACCTCTTGTATTTTTTTCTTTGCTTCTCCTCAAGATAACTTTTTGACAATAGACAATGAGCAAATTGAAATATAGAAAGATTAGAAGTGCAAGTGAATAATCTAAATTTGACATATTACCGTAGAATTTAAGTTGAAGGTGTAAGAGAAACTCTTATGATAGACAATGGTAAAGTAGTTGACCTTGATAATATTCCTATCAAAGTTTGAAAAAGTCCTGAAAAACAAGGAATTGAGTGACTTATTGAGTTCTTTAATTAAATTTTGAGATCTAAGAATATTCCAGATGAATGGAAGAAAAGCACTTTGGTCTTTATATACAAGAACAAGGGTAATATTCAAAATTATACAAATTATAGAGAGATTAAACTTATGAGTTACATTATGAAAGTTGTGAGAAAAGGTGATTGAACATATATTACGAGATGAAATTAGGATTGCAGAAAATCAATTTGGTTTTATACTTGGAAGTTCTATAACATAAATTATATATCTTTTATGAAAGTTGATGGAAAAGTATCGTTGCAAAAAAAAAAAAAGACTTACATATGGTTTTTAATTTTTACTAACTTGTAAAAAGCATATGACTGTATATCAAAAGAAGTGTTATAAAAGGCTTTAGAAAAAAAAAAAAAAAGAGTTTGTGTAACACTTGTTTAAGCTATACAAGATATGTATAAGGAGGTAACTACATGTGTGAGAATTTCTGAATGCATATCTAAGGACTTTTCTATAGGGATAGACTTACATCAAGATTATGCATTGAGTCCTTACTTGCTTAATTTAGTCTTAGATGTGTTTACGAGTGACATATAAAAGAATTTCCATAAATGCATACTCATTGTAGACAACATAGTGTTAGTTGAAGATTCAAAAGAAGTTGTTAATTTTAAACTTGAGTTATGAAGGAAGACTTAAGAATCTAAGGGTTTTTGCTTGAATAGAAGTAAGATAGAATTTTAACAACAAACAAGATGAAGATTATGTGTTGGATTTGGAAGTTAAAATTAGAGATGATAGTTTATCACAAGTCTCCAAGTTTAGGTGTTTGGGAATTGGGATCGATTCTACAAAATGATGGCGAAATTAATAAAGATGTTACTTGTAGAATACAAGTTAGGTGGTTAAAATAGAAAAAAAAAATCAAGAATTAATTGTAATCGTAAATTACTTATCAAGTTAAAAGAAAAGTTTTATCGTACTGCCATATGACCAACTATCTTATATGATAGTGATGGATAAGTGATCACACGAGAATAGACAAAATAAGAAATTATTATATACATATAAATGTTGAAGCATCACCTATTTTGGAAAAGGTGACTGGAAAACCATTTTATAAAGTTTGGTCACGTAAAGAAAAGACCTTTGGAGGCATTGGTGAGGAGAGTGACTTTCAATCCAGTAAAAATGGGTAGAGATAAACTCAGAAAAGCCTTAGAGGAAGTTAATAAAAGAGATTTTTTTTATTTATAATACTTATGAAAATTTAGTTTTTGACTGTGTTCAACAGCATTGTGTGATTCATGTAGCTGATTTCACTTAGTAAGATAAGACTTCATTGTTGTTGATGTTATTCTCCTCAAGATAACAAAGATTTCTTCCTTCAATTTTTCTTCTCTAAAGATGAAAAAGTGTGCAATGATTGGCTAAAACATGCACCAACCCACCTGTTTTGACTGAGCTAGTATCGCTGCTTTTGATTTTCATTGAGTTGGTCATTTTTAGTTCAAATCTGACAAGACCTGACTATTTTTAAAGTTTTATTATATTAAATGGAAAATGTATTTTATGTTATTTGTGTATTTGATCATACAATTGTTGATCCTTTTAAGTCGCTCTTCAGCTTTCTGACGTGCAATTCAGTACTTTATATGGAGTCTCTTTCTCCGTGTAAGAATGTTTTCCCCAAGTATAGCATCTGTCACTCCATAGTTCAATGCATCTTGATATACTCATTCAGTGTAATATGTTTTGTAATACAGGACATCCCTTTTACTGGAGCAGTTGTGCAACATTTAACCTTTACTCCTTTAGGTCTTAGATCCATTTTTATTATTCAAGAGAGAGAGAGAATTCGTGGAGGTTGCAGATGAGAATCTAGTTATTGATTCTATCGATATATTTGAGCAAATTGCATTTGATTTTAGTGTGTAGGACTGTAATCTGTTGCAGTTAGAAGGCATTTCAATTTCATTAGCATTAATGCATGATAAATAAGATAGCAAATTGGGGGTCAAAATCACTTCACTTGAAAGGTCTAGTTTTGATTCCTTTTCAAATGGCAGCTATGGTGCTGCAATTTTCAAGCCCTCCGCCATTTGCCATTTGTTTTATTTATGGCACTGCCCCTCCATTTTTGGTTTTGCGGCAATAGCAGCCATGGTGGATTTGGATCTCTTTGTTTTTTACTCAATTTTTATAAAGCCAAACTAGGGTTTTTAAGTCCCTTGTCACCTATTCTTCTGTGGTATCTCACACTATCCTACTCCCACTGCCACCACCTACTGCTGACTGGAACCCTGAAACCCTGAAACCTTGAACTCTTGAACCACCACCAAGATATATTTCCTTTTTTTCCGGTTTTTATTTCATTTCTTTCTTTTTCTCCCCCCATTCTTCTTCATCTACACTTCTTTACTTTCATTTTTTTTATTCAGTATTTGTGGTCATTTTCATATCCTTCTTCCTTTTATTTTGATCTCTGTGTTTTTTTCCTATTCTTTTTTCTGTTTCTCTCATTCTCTCTGTTTTTTGCTGTTCTTCTTCATTGTTTTTCTTTTTCTCTGTCCTCTTTTTTTTTTTTGTCTGTTCCTCTCCTTAAAAGATATGTCTTTTAGCCTGACAAAGCGGATGATTATGTGGAGGAAGAGAAAGAGGATTAAATCTTTCACTTATTTTGGTGTCTTGGTTTGGCTTTTTCTGGTTTGTGACTGCTATCTTTCTTGTTAGTGTTGTCATTATGTAACTCTATGCATATATATGTTATGCTTGTGGTAGTGGTACAAGACTTTGTTGGATTTTATTTCATAAAATATATTTTTAATTTTGTTATGTCTACATGCATTACTAGTTTTTGTTACTTATTGTATTTAACCGATGTTGGAATTATATACACACACAAACACACATATATTTGTAGACCATGCTTCTGCTATTTGCCTGCAATGCCATCCCCCTTATCATATGGTGGATTTTTGTCTTTCCGATATGGTCCATCATCTGCTGTTGATAACATAATGCCAGCAATCTCCTTTGGTGTTTGATCTGTAAATGCCACTATATAAGCAATCACTGAAGTTGGTGTCATGAGTCCTGACTTGAACTTTTAATGGGCTACACCCTCCCCCTTCTTACTAAAGGAAGAGGATAGTAATGATTGATATAGACATTGAACACTCTAAATTGCAGACTTTCTCTGCCTCATTGGTAGTGATCTGAAATTTCTGTTATTATGCCTTTAGCATGTTGCACATCTTCATTATTTTCTCAAGATTGTAACTTAGTGGTTCTGCTTAACATAATTTGTTGGGGCCCTGAACAGGCTTTTAATGTCTGTGTCTCACTCACCAGACTGGTTTTTTTGTTTGTACAACAAAAAGACAAGTTCTCTCAGTCTTTATGCTTCTTAAAGAGAGAATATCATTAAACATGGAAAAGATTGTAACTCACAAAACTATCTTAAGAAGCATTAAGATTAAATACCTGTTGGTTAATTGTTTACATCCACAAATAATTTGGTCACTCCTATCAAATTAAAAATAGCAATAAACATTCAATTTTTACCACATTTGGCATATCACTTTTTATTTTGCTACAATCACTAATGAAGTGCTCTCGCAATTTGCAGAATAAACCTCTTATTCCCAAAGTGGTTATGCTCTACGTCCCTGGCCTGGATGCAGCTTTGTTCTTGTCGCAGTCTAAAATGCTTCCCAGTTTAAAAAATTTTTGTGGCAAACCAAGGCCAGTCTTGGCACTTAGGTCTGTACTCTGTAGAAGATGTATTTACTTCTTATTTCCTTCAAAATGTTATTTCTCTGCACTTAAATTTTCTCCTTTTTTTTTTTTTTATTTTTTATCTGGCTAGTTGTGTATCAGATGGTATGCAGACTATAGATGCACTACTAACATGCAAGGTGAAAAGAAAGAGGGATCAGAATAGTTCAATAATGAGGAAATCTGCCTGGACATCTCGACAAGGTCTTCATTCTTCAAAGCATTATATAAAAATTTCTGTTGCTATAGCAAATTAGGTCTTGAATTTGAGGTTCTTTAGTTAAGTTGTACAGGGAGTAGAATGGAAAAAAATTTCAAGAGTGGCTATGTCTAAATTGTCCTCTAGTCAATAAAGCTATTTGGACTGCCTTGTTATTTTTTGTACTCTCCTGGTCAAAGTACAAGTGTACAACTGTGGCTGGATGTCCTCAAATCGTTGATGTCAGTGCCTGTCAGAGAAAACAATAAGTAGGTAAAATAGATCAAATTTCTTTCACAAGTTAACAACTTACGCACATAAACTTTCTTAGCTTTTTCATCCAACTTCTCCAAAAGCTGATGTGTACAAGTTGATTTTTTCTTATGGGAGAAATTTGATTCATGTTACCTATTAATTTTTTCTCCTATAAATACTTGTTAGGATATTATCCAAATTGGGCCTTGATCTAGAACATATTTATCAATAGAGGAGTGGAGCAGCCATAGGCCACTGCAAAATTTGAACAGTGGAGTAGTTTTGACTTTTGAATGGCAGCGCTAGAGTGAAACTTATAAAGAAAATTCAGTTTTGCTGTTAAAAAACACTGTTTTACAGGCTTTTTTACTTTTATTATTATTTACTTGTATGTTTCACCTAAGAACTATGACTTGTTATTTTTAATTATGAAATGTCATAGATTTTGAGTTTATTTTTTTTTAAATCTTAGCATTTATATATAGTATAAATTATTTAATTTATATATAAAAGTCTAAATAGCGGTTGTCCCATGCTATCCTGCTAAAGCATTTTTGGCATTGGCTACTATGCAGTTATTCAAGATTGATAACTATGATCTCGAATTGTTTCAGTTCAATTATTGTTTATTGTTGATGAATATTGATTGAATGATTTGACAAAGTAAGCTAGAAGTCAAGAAGCAAAATTGGCTTCTTAGCAGTATGATCATTTGGATATACATAGTTTAATTTTCATTTCTCATTATTACGGAATTACATTGGTTACTTAGATCAGCGATGTACATCTTGTAACTTTTCTCATGGTTCTCTCAATTGTGAAGTTCTTGAGATTTCACTCCTATGCACCTAATTGCTAACCCTTCAGTATTTTCTCTTAATTTTGATCAGGACAAAACTTAGAAACAGTTCCTTTAGTGCTTTTGGTGCTGTTTTCTAATCAAAATTAGAGTTTCACATAAGTAAAAAGTTTGCATTTAATGTTGTTGTGGGCATAGCAGTCAATAGTGGCTATCATGTCGTCGTCGTGTCACATTTCAATGTAGCGGCTGTCATGCCTCGAATTGCGGCCAAGAATAGAGCAAATTGGGGCCATCCTAAGTCAAATCCCTACTTTACCTTCCCTTTCTTAATGTTGGGTGACTTTTAAGGGTTGCAATCTTGAGATTTTACCCGTTTACAATTCTGATATGTTCTCCCTGGTTGAGCTAGCCCTAAGCCCTTGTCTCAGTCTCATCTCTTATTTTTTTCTCCCATTCGATTCTTCATCTTCGTTCTCTGCCACATCCTCTTGCTTTCCATGTCCTTCATCTCTAGCAAAGCTTCCACGCAATAGAGCCATTCTCTGGTCATCTTTAGCTTCAGCGAAGCTTCTGACGTGATCCAAATGTTGTACGGTCATCTTCTTCATCTCCAGTTGTCTCTTCAACTCAAGCAAAGCTTTCCACATGACCCAGACATTTTATGGTTATTTTTTTCATCTATGGTGAAACCTCTAATGAACCTAAACGTTTTTTGGTGATTGACCATTTTCTGTTTTTTTTTTTTCTTCTCTGTTTTGATTTTCTTGCTCTATTTTGTTTTAAATTTCAATGCCTAAAATAGAAGCAATGGCTACTCCTGCCAATCAGTCAAATGGTACTACCTCTGTTTCAATTTCTCTCTGTGCATTAGTAAAGCCAACAAGTAATAATTTGGATATAGGTTGACAATGGAACAATTTGAAATACAAAAATAATAAAAAGTCTATTGTAACTTTTGTTGAAAAACTACTACTGTCAATATGATCCAAACAAAGAGACATTAGATGGGAGTGAAGGGAGATATTAATAGCTGTCCAATGACTTCTAAAGAAATAAAAAAAACACTAGTAGCAGTTCACAAGAAGAAGAAAGCTGAGAAAGAGGCATATTTAGTTTATCCTGATGATGGTGAGGAAGAAGAGGTGCAAGAAATTCAACATATTTGTAGTGAAAAAAGACTTGCAACTTTAAGTGCTGCATCAGCTTATGGTAGTGGCTCTACTGCCATCAAAAAAGGAAAAAATGTCAAGGGTCCCTTTGATTTATTGTGGTTGAAGAGTCTAGAAACAAGCATCAAATTAGCAAAGGCAGAAATACAAACAAGTATAAATGATGCTTGTATTTTTCAGCATATATATGTATGCAGCTTAAAATATATTAAGTATATTTAAAACTTTAGTATAGTAGTCATCCTACTATCCACTATCCTAATATAACATTTTTGGGGTCAGCCGCTCTGCGCCGCTGTCGAAGATTGACTACTGTGGTTGTGGGTTATTTAGGTGAAAATCTTTTTTTGATTGCAAAACAACATCAAAGTACTCAAGGAAATGTACCTAAGTTTTGTCCTTTTAATTATATTTCAAATAAAAAGTTTTGAATCTGATGATTCAAATTCAAATACAGGCCCATGATAGTTGTCTATGCACATCTAAAATGATTAATCGTAGTTCCTGTTTTTAGTATGTTTCTTGTCCCACATGGACAAGGTTTATTTAAGATGTTCTTTTGTTGGCCACAAACATGATTGCATTGCTATCGTTTTTCATTAGAAATTATATAACCTGTATAAATTTGGTCACTTTATGAAACATGACATTTTCATGCAGAAGGTTGTGGTGGTACAGACAATCTATCGTTTATGGAGCTTACAAAAGACATACCTTTTCCTGTTACATACTATACACTAACAGAGAAAGAGCTGGAAGAGAATGGATATTTTGTTAATAAGCCAGGTGATTATTTCTCTGCTACCAATTATATATGTTAGTATGACCAATATTTTATATATTAATCTTTTTGAACATTTGCTTACTGGACACCCTTTTCTTTATCCATTTACAACAGATTTTCTTTGTACATTGCCTGCTCCTTCAAGATCTCCTTTTTATGAGATGTTAGCACTTGATTGTGAGATGGTAAGTCAATCTATAACAGTTTTGCTTTAAAGACTGTTATTATCATTTAAAAATAGAGTTTTGGATGATTATAAACTTGTCCAAAGGAGCAAGTTTCTCTATTTATAGAAATATGCTAATATTATGTTACTCCTTATGCTTATCGAATATTTGCTTACTAGAATGATAATGAACTTGTTTAAATTGGTGATTTATCACTATCTGAGAGGGATATGGTATAGATTTTTCTTCCAGTTTCCCAATTTACAAGAGATTGATAATATTTTTCAAATGAAGCTTGAAAACTTTTGACAACCTTTTTGAATCTGGATATATACTGAGACAATGATAATTATTTATTTCCCCAGCATTTAATTTTTAATTTTTTTTAACTCATTTATCTCAATGCACAATTGCATCATTAATTGGGATGACTGTTTGATGTAACCCAATTTTACTTGTTTAAGACAAAACTCAGTACTACTGGGTTCATTTCATATTCATGAAATTGAGACGGAGATAGCTTATTGAGTTTAGAGGAAGAGAAAGAGAGAAATAGAGAGGAAAAGGGGGGGGGGGGGGGGGGGAAGGGAAGGGGAGAGTTAGGCATTGCTTCAGTGAAATTGATTGATAGTACAATACTTTGGTTATGCAGAACATCTATATAGATTCATAATAGATTAAGTGGAGGCAATTTCTTAAAGAATACATGCGTGCTACTTCCTAAATACTAACTCCTATGAAAATTAAATGCATTTAACATGTGATGCATGTACTCATTTAATGTTTGGTACATGAATGGCTTGTTATTCTAAAATAGCTGAAAATCATATTGACAGAGGTTTTAGTGGAATAAATTGACAATTTAAAATAATTTCATTCTATACAACAATAACAACCAAGTCTTATCCCATTAGCTGAATTAACTTCATTCTATATTGTGACAAATTAAAGTAGTTGACATGTTTTTTTACAGATATCCTAAATATGTAATCTTGGTCATTCTTTATTTCTTTTTTCTTTATTTGCTTAGTGCATAACAAGTGAAGGTTTTGAGCTGACAAGAATTACTCTAGTGGATGTCAAAGGACAGGTATTCACTGAATTATTTTCTGACCTAGTTTTGTTTTGTAAATGCATCAACTACTGATTTTTGGAGGAATGATCATTAGTTTTGCAATTTCAACAGATAATTATCAATATTCTATTGCTTATATCTTGTGTTGTGTTGGTTTCTACGTATCTAATTCCTTTGAGGTATATATAAATTGTCATATTTTTAACTGATGGTTGTTGAACTTGGAATCAGAAGTTGTTTTTTCAGAATTTTATTTCACAAAACTGTGTTATGTTGCTCATTGTTGCTTATTCATGGATATCATTGCCTTTTGGCCCATAGAAAATAACCTAATTTTTTTATTGTTAACGAAGCTTTATATATGTGCCATCAAAATACTTCATGCTATTGCATCGAGAATTTTGGGTGTCTTTTATCCTGTCTCATTTACATCTTTGAGAAATTGTGAACATTTGGTTGCACAGTGATGGCTTATTTTCTAATATTTATCTTTCCAGGTTTTGATAGATAAATTGGTTAAACCAACAAATGCTATCATTGATTACAACACAAGGTGAGCTGTTGTGTGTATAAGTCAGTGTGCCTAAGTTCAATATTTAATATTTGAAATAAAGAAAATGTTATTGTTAAATAGATTTTATTATCTTTTTTATGGTAATCATAAGTTAGTAAAACTAATCAACAGCTATATTATAAATCTGAGTCTTCGTAATTGAATGCCAGACATCTTTTTGACATACTCAATTTTATGTGACATGTGGCTTCACTATTATATAGCACTTGTTTTTATATTTTCAATGATTCTTAAATTGTTGAATTTTTTCAAAATTTCCTTTTACATTAAGATTTCTTTTTTTCCCTGAAATTCCAGCTTTAATAACTTTAAATATATCTTTTTATGTTAAAATTTCCTTTTCCAGCTCAAATCTTAGATATTTATACCCTCAAATTAATTCTTTTCATTTTAAAAATTTTTTCACGTTGTCCCCTAGATTTAAGTTAGTTATTTATTTTACTGTCCTTAGAAGTATGTAGTTGTAACCAATGTTGTCAAGATTGGGATCTTACCTAGGATTGGGAGGGTGGTAAAAGATCGTAAATTGTGGGATCGTAAGATCTTATGAACATGTAAAACTATACTTAAACATATATATATAAGCATAGAAAATCACATACATAAAAAGATTAACATCTAAATCACAATTTAATTAAACATAAACTTAAGATCCTAGTATTGGAAGCCATGCAAAGATGAGAGAACCCAAAACAGAAGACAAATGGAAGACCCACAAATTGAAATAGCAGCAGAGCACGAAGAGAACACCCACAAACCACCAAGAGAACACACACAGAACAGCGAACCAATGGCAAAATGAAGAGCAACCAAGAGAACACCACAATACAGAACCAATGGCAAAAAGAAGAGAAACCAAAAATGCTGGCAGCAGCACCTAGGTTGCAGAAAATAGAAGCTCAATGCAGAGAGGAGGAAGCTTGTTTTGAAATGTAGAGCAGAGGTCGCAGAAAATGAACTTAGAAGTCAACAAAAGAAGTCGCAGAAACCAAATCCAAACTTGCAAACAACAGTAGTACAAAAGTTGTTCCAAAATAGATAAAAGATGAGAGAAAACTTTGTGACCTAGCTGGAACAGTCGTCGTCACATGAGAATAAGGGAATAAAAGTGCAAAATCAGGTCAAAAACTACCCTAGAAACATGTTTTTAAAAACCGGGTCACGAAAATCCAACCGGAAAACCTGTGTAGTGAAGATCGGTAAGATCGAGATCCTATGTGATCTTGCCAATTTCTGATCTGTTTCTGATTAAGATTGTGGAGTGGGGGAAAGATCATAAGATGCATGATCTTGCAATTAAGATCAAGATTTTGACAACATTGGTTGTAACTATTTAAATTTTATTTATATTTTTTAAATTTTACCTAAATTAAAAAATACTTATGGTTGGCATGGGATACTTTCTACTTGCTTCTAATGCCACCCCTTAGGGCAACTTTGAGCAATCTATGTGCTGGGTGAGTTATGTGTGTACTCTATTTCTCTTTTCAATGCGGTTAGTTCAGTGATGAGACTTGCCTCATTGTAAAATATTCTTATAAGGGTTATTATTTTTTTAATTGCAAACATATATATGTGCTACTTGGTTGTTTCAATCTAAGGTGGGACTGAATTTTTGCTGTAAATGAATACCTTAACAAGATGCTGTTAGGTAACCCTAATAGACTGGTTCTGTTCATTAAAGGAGTTACTGAGAGGACATGTGAGAATGTTTTTAGTGCAAGAAATTCCTAAACAGATTAGGAGACTACTGGATGATGTTCTTCAATCTTAGGATACTTGTAATGAGAGCAGACAAGTCAAAAAGTAGGATGTAAGGTGAAATTTAATAAAGATAAACAACGGTGAAATTTTATTCCATATGATCCATGTTTGTTTCTTCCTTGGATTTGAAACAAATTTGTCAAAAGCAAGTAATAATGATGTTGTGCAGATATAGTGGAATAACATCAGAGATGCTAGACGGGGTGACAACAAATCTAAGAGACATTCAGGTTCTGTTACTTGAGTTAATTTGATTTGTTCTTTAATCTTATTTCAGGCTTAAAGCCTCAAGCTGCTGCTACAGACACAGTGCTGAACAGTCAAAACTATTTGTTCTGTTGATTTAATTTCAGTTGCTTCCCCTTTTCAGGAAGAGTTTCTAAAATTGGTTTATAAAGAGACTATCCTTGTGGGGCATTCTTTGGAAAATGATTTATTAGCACTGAAAATATCGCATGACTTGGTCATTGACACAGCAGTATTATACAAACATCCCCGAGGATCATCTCATAAAACTGCTCTACGGTTTCTTGCTAAGAGATTTCTTTCAAGGGAGATACAACAATCAGGGAATGGACATGACAGCATTGAAGATGCTAGAGCTACCATGGAGTTGGCACTACTGAAGATCAGAAATGGCAAGTAGTTCTTCTGCATGTATTAATGCTGCAATTTTTATGTTGGAAGGTTTAAAATGCATTATAGTTTTAAATACATACACTATTTTAGTATATGATCTCTGAAAGTAGATACTATTTTTAATTTAGATTCATATAGATCATCTGGTAAAAAGAAGTAGATGGAGATTTAAAAGATTTTTAGAGGATGTTATTAAAAGAGATCTTTAAATCAATAATATTTTTGAAAATTTGGTTTCGACTGAGCTCAATGGTGTTGTGTGATTCATGTAGCCAACCTCACCTAGTGGGATAAGGTATCGTATTAGACAATGCATTTTATTTGGTTGAACCATATCTTTTTGCGCATCAATTAAGCACTTTTTAATTTTTTTCACTTTAGGATCAGGGCCATCTTCCTTGATTCTTTATATTTATTTCTCTTCATCATGGGTGAACAAGGAATTAGGGTGATTTGTTGAAAATTGAAAGTTTCTTATAATGTTTTTAGACTATAATAAAAGATCATATGTTTTCTTGTCATGGGGAAAGCATGTCTCGACTCCTTAGTATAATTGACCTTGTTGGTTTTGTTTCTTTTGTCTTCATTCTATTTTGTACTTTCAATTTTAGCTAATTCTTTATTTAAAAATTTAATCAGTTTCCTTTCTCTACCAATACAAGTTTAGAGTTACAAATCTATGGAGACTTATTTTATACAGGTTTTACATGGTCTTATTATGTTATTATTAGAAATTTGTGATAATGTATTTCTTGACTCTAGTATCTTATCAGTATCTTGTTACTTTCACAAAGTGTACACTAAAGTAATCTCACTAGCAAGTGTACTAGTATGGTTGTAACAAGTTATAAATTTTTAGAATCAAAGTTGAATTTCAAGTATCGTCCTCAGGGTTTAGTTTTCTCAATTATCACTTCACAAATCAACATTAGTTAAGTCATACAATTGATTGGAGAGTTTGTATTATGTAAAAATCATAAATAACAAATATAGACAAATGTAAACTTGAAGTAAAACAAAACCATGAAGTTTGTATTTAGAACATGATTAATGAATTTGAGTTAAGAAATTACTTTACCAAAATTTTAGTATTAATTCAACCATGTTCTAAACATTCAAGTATTTGAATTGATTGACCATCAATATCACAAATTATTAGTCAAAAGTTAATTCCTTAACTCAATGACCCTAACATTCAACTCAATCACCCTAATCACTAATCTTGGTAATTAATTCAAATCTGAGAAACAAATCTAACTTTCATTGATAAAAGTTTCTATTTGTTTAGTTAATTGAATTTCCATCCAAAAACTACTTTATTAACAGAATTAACTATTCAATCCAATCAAATACTTAAAGTTCAAATCCAAAATCAAATCAATACTTCCATTTCAGATTCATAAATCCCTACCTACAAAGAGTTTAGAAAGTCATTATAATATGAGAAGAGAAAGAAAAAAGAGATAAGTAAAGAAACATCTTTAATCCAATCTTTAATCTAATTTCTCAAGATGTGAAGCTTGGTGTTCGTTTCTAATCTCTCTCTCTGATTCTCTCAAGATGAGAAAATGAATGGAAAAAAAAATGGCAAAAGATCCTCAATTCCTAACTGCATCTATATAATTTTTCTCGCTCTTTCTAATATGTGCACTCTGAATGGTTAAAGTGTAACATAGAAGGTCTTTTGAAACCTTCCTAAGTTGAGGTGATCACTTTAAACACTTAGAGTGAACACTTAAAGTAGTTCTTCAAAGTTCTGTCATGCGCGTTTACACTTTAAACACTTGAAGTGTACACACGCAACCTTCTTCTATCCAAAACCTCTCTGAAGTGAACACTTCATGTATAGAAAGTGGTAACGCCCAGCCCTCTTGATGTGTGTGTTAATTGAGCACTTGAAGTGTTAACGTGCAAGCTTCCTTTGAATTTTAACCTCTAAAGTGTTCATTTTGAACACTTAAAGTGTACACTTTCACCTCTTCTTCTGGATTAAAGTTCTGAAGTATTCACTTTGAGTACTTAGAATGAACATTTTTGCTTCATTTTGCTAAATCTACTTCAAAGTTGTCACTTTATGTGCCCAGAGCGATAACTTTTAAACTTCATTATTTGATTATTCACTCCTTAAGTCTAATTCTTTCATTTTCTTCTATTTCTTCCTTTGATTCTCAGCCTCATAACCTCCGGTTCAGATTTTCTGCACAAATCCATCTTAATCAGCAGAATTATATAAAAAATTGGATCAAATCTAAAACAACTAAACTACTTAAGGAACCTTGAACATTAAAGTTTTATGTGATTTTCAGTTTTACCAATCAACTTAACTACTTAATAACTATTAAAAATTATACTAAAATGCTAGTAAAATGTGGATTTATCATATCTCACTTCAATAAAGCTGTTGATATGATACTTTTTTTATTGTGGTTGTCAATCAGCTTCTGATTTGACCATCTTATATATGATGGACTGTTTTGTATGAGACATGAGTTATGATTCGTGTGTGCCACTAAGGACTAAAGAATGCAGGGAAAGTAGTATTTTCATTTTCTAACAAGAAGCTTTATTGTTTTGTCTTTCTGTATTCCTTTATATTTTCTTGGTTTGCCGGGCATGACTGCTGTGACACTCTTGAAACAGGGCCTGACTTTGGTTCCCCTCCATCCTTTATGCGGAAAAAGCTCCTTTCCGTTTTGAGTGAGTTTGGCAGAACTTCCTCCTTGATTGATGATATATCCATAGTAAAACGGTATGTCTCTGAGTCCTCTCATGCAATTCCTGTGACCTCTGATGATGAAGCACTTGCAAGGACCAACAAGGAGGTAGATGTGTTAGCTGGCTATATTTGCAATTGTTTTCCTTCCTGATTAGTAGTTATACTATATGTCTTGTTTCATGCCCCCTTTTTCTCTGTTTCAGGTGAAGAATGAAAAGGTACATTTTATCTGGACTCAGTTTTCAGAGTTACATTCATACTTGAAGAAACAGGCTGAAGATTCAGAGAACTTGAATAGAAGACTTGCAGAGATGATGGCATTACATACATGTCAGAATAATTTTGCAAAAGGGAAAGGCTTCAAGGTCAAAGCATCTGCTGAATTGAAGGAAATTCTGGCTCGCATGGATGCTAGAATTCAAAATCTGTATTTGTCATTACCCACGAATTCTATGATGATAATTTGCACTGGTCATGGAGACACAGCAGTTGTCCGCAGGTAACATGACTTTTTTAAATCCAACCTGACAATAATGTAGGAGCAAATTAATGTTTTGGCCTAAAATAAGGTAATATTTCTGTAGAGTCCTCGTATTCATAATCTCCTCAACTGGGTATATGCAAGTTTCTGTTTGGGTAAATTCAGAAATTCCATCAACCCTAGTCTAATTTGACAGGCTGATTTCCTCGTGTAATTTATTGATTCCTCTTGTGGATGATGGACCTTGATCACATTGGACTCACTGATCACATGTTCAAAAGAAAACTAACATGATATTCGGGCCTGAAAATATCCTTTAGAGGATCTTTAATGGAATCCCCTGAATTGGCTAGGGGATTTTGATTGTCTTTAGCTCATTTAACATTGATAGGAGCAGACCCCATATAATGGCGTCCTTTGCCTTAGGTGACCTTCAATTTTTCATAATCTCTTGATGATATGGGATAAAGTCGCACCATTTATTAGGACTTTATGTATGGTATCCACACATCCATGGAAACGAACCCATTTGTCCAACTCAAGAATGTGATCCTGGCTAGTTAATACATTACAGATTGAAACTTGCTGATTGAGGTAGTTATACATGGGAGGATTCTGGTAATTTGTTGTCAATTTGGACAAGACCGAGCATAAACAAAGCTAGGGTTGTACTCTTTTAGCTTGTTACTTGTTTGGCAAATTGACTTATTTATTTTTCATTTTTTAACTTCCTCCATTTTGAAGGCTGAGAAGAATGCTTACGGAGCAGAATGATAGTACTTTATGTCGCGAGGAGATTGTGGAAATATTGGAAGAGGTTCAGGCTCGTGCTGAAGTAGCTTTGTGTTTTGTAGGCGTAAAGCATTGAATATAATCAATACAAAAATGAACTGAAATGATTTTTGTCAACCTGTGGTGATTACCCACAATTTGATGGGAAACATTGTAAATGTAAATATTGGCAAGTCTCACGGCAATAGATCTACTTCATGTATGCAATATTATCATGAAAAAATATGCAGAAGAACCCTAATATTTTAAATGGTTCTGCTTGTCTAGAATTATTGTTCTAGTTTTAACGTAATTTTTTGTCTTCAGATACTTTCCTATGTACAATACGTTTTAAAGTTGTTTTAAAGTTTTAACGTAATTACGTTATTCTAGCATGTTTGGGTGAATATTTTAATTAAATACTTGTTCAATAATTTTTTTTTATCAAATTACAATTGTTTATAAATTTAACTTTGAAGTTTATTGTAACAAGTATAAGAGATATTTTATGTAATATTATAACGTTAAGATATTATAAAAAAGTAATAAATTATTTTCCTACGTATAACTTTGTAAATGCTTCCCTAAAGCTAGGTTTATGGTCAGTTGATTTTGCGTTTCAATAATCTTCAGTTGAAGGAGGGATATCGATGAAAGTAATGCGTGCCACCGAAAAATGGATTGGAACAGCTGCCAAATAGTTGGAATATGAAAGAATTGGCACCAACATACATTAATTGCGTCTGAATGTTTTTACAATCAGTTCATCATCACATAAATTACACTGATAAATGCTAAAGGTTTAAACATTTACTAATGATTTTAAAAATATATAATAATAAAATAATTTTTTAAAGTTTTATTTTATTAAAAACTAATTTTTTGTTTTGGTTATATTTCTTGATTTCTTAAGAACACTCATCAGTAGTACTCTTTATATCAACCTTCTCTTTTAATATAGTTTTGTAACAGTCCTACTTACCAAATTTGATTTGATAATTTTTTTAATCTATATAATTAAGGTGATACAAGATGACTTGTTATAATATATTTTAAAAATTATAATATTTATAATTTAATCTTTAATAAATTTTACAAAGTAAGAATTTCTAAGTATTATATATTTAAACCAAGTCCTTTAAAAATATTTTTCTTTTAAAAATATAATTGTGACAATTATAAAATTAAGTTTTCTTTTTCATTTACATAAAATTTAACTATGTTCTCTTAAAATTACTTTCTTTCATCTTTATTTTTAAAACTAGTTCAAATATTTTCTGTAAGTTCAAAAATTTAATAACTCTTATTAAAATTTGAAAGGAATATATAAAACAAGAAATCAAATAATTCTTGCTTAGAATAGTGTTGTAAAAGTTTTGTTTAATTTTTTTTATCCTACTTCAGTTTCTCTTTATTTTTTCTTCCAAATAGAATGCAAACTTATTCCCAAATCTAACAATATAAACAATCATACTCTCTTTGCATTGTCATACTTTGAATTGTGATATTTGTAAATTGAACCAATTAAATTTGTAAATATCATATATTCATTTCAATTATCTTTAAAATGATCTATTTGGCTAGATTGAAATATAGATAATGACTAAAGAGATATAATTGAAAGCTAAAAGATGCAAAAAAATCATTTTCTATAATTTTTGCTTAAGTTATATTGTATTCACTTAAGCTAATTTTATATAGTGATAAACACACAAATTTCGTCAATATTCACTTAAACCATTATTTTTTGCTAATTTTTATAATGAATTGAGATTGTAAGAATGGATGCAAAATTTTAATTCCAAAAATCATGAACTTCACACATAAGGTTTGCAGAAAATCCTAAATATCTAAATTGCTATTCAATATTTTATCAACTTAAAAAAGTCATTTTTTATAAATTGAAACTGCATCAATATATGTGAAAGAAAATCTTCTTAGAATTTGAGCCTTCATTTAACTTATATATAACGGTCAGTGAAATAATAAATTATAACCTGTTAGATGTAAGTTAAATGACAATAACACACAAATCATACAATGACTATCACAATATAGCACACATAGTAAATCAATCACATATGCAATATTTATAACTTATATTTTTACACTGATTTGAATGTCATAATACATGTATTATATCACATCAATCAATATGTCATAATACATGTGTTCTAATCGCACATGTCGGTGTATTACAACACATATATCATAACATTAATCGATATGTTTCAATACATATATTAAATAAATCACACAATTACTATACTATTTCACATCCATCATAATTTTACAATCATTGCCTTTAAAATCGCTTGAGATCTTCATAGTATAGATAGTTGCTAATTAGCTGATGAACATGGATACAACATGTACTAACCCGACCCTTTTTAGCAAAAGTGTGGTCAGAAGTTTAGGTCAGGAAATGAGTGTGAGGCTTATGATGTCTTTTTCCTCCATTTTCATTAATTATGCGCATTCAAAGAAAAATATCTACCACCCTCATTTCTTTTAGATTTTTCAAAATCACTCTCATCTTCCACATCTTCAGTGTATTTTTGTGACTATCTATACATGTTCTCAACATATCTCATCCACTTCCATATACTTTTCACAAATTAGCATGTCATAATACGTGGGTTGTTATCATATAAATTAATGCATTACAATATATGTATTATGAATACACCTTTCAATATATCACAGTACCTGTATCATAATCACATATGTCAATCTAGTATGATTCACGTATTATAATAACACATCTCACAATTCCACAATCAGGTCATATTATCTCCTTTTACACATAATAGTTTTACTTCATTCAAGATCAGTCAAACACTTTTCATCAATAATATGAATCCACCAATTTTAGCATATATCTGTTATCAGACAACATTTATATTTATTGTATCATCTAATACATAAAACTATCAATCAATTTCGCACCACACATATCAATACAATGTGCCGAAGGTCGAACATCTTCAGACCCAACCCAGACATACAATTTAATAAAACTGCCTATTCTATAGTTTAACATCATCCAATGTTCATAGTATGTCTATTATTCAAAGTATTAAATAACAATCTTAACTACACATGAATAATGTTTAATAGTAAAATCATAATATTTCTTAAAAATCATTATGTTCAAAGCTTTTACGGTAAAATTGTATTTGGCTAGTTCAGAAGATAATCGTGGGTTTTTCATGTCTAAAAATCTTTATTCCTATACCTAAGATTTTAAGAAAACATTATGGTTCTGTGTTTCTAATTAAAAAAACTTTCAAACCAAAATACTTTAATAGGAGTTATGATTTGGGATCAACTCCCCTTACCTTTCTCAGATTGAATTTTCCTAGAGATCTAAGAGAAAGGTATAACAGTTCTGATGGAGGATATCATCTTACATATTAAGATTTTCTCAAGTATTACAAAGCGTAAAACTTTAGATTAAGAGAAAACTGAGAAATAAGAATGAAGTTTGAGAATTAAGCTATAAGAAACTTATTTGTATCTGAATGGATAAATGTTCGAGTTCAGATCTGAGAGAGATTAAGAGTTATAGAAGGCTTTCTCTGATAAAAGAGAGGAAAAGAATAAAGAAGATAGAGATAGAGAAGTGATTTTGGTGAAAAATAAAATTTTTCAACGTGAACTCCCTTAAATAGCCTTCAAACCTACGCGTTCTTGATGAGTCATTGACTCATGTTGTAAATTGAATGCTTATGGCACATTTCATTGCATAAATTATTTAAATTAATGTAAATTAATTGAAATATTCATTGAAAAATGATATTACTGGGAATGTAATGAATTGTTCAATTATTGATAGTTGACAACTGATCTTTGAAAGATTTAGAAGAGAAATCGCAATTGAATCTAAAAAGAAGAAATTGAATTGCTGCAAGATATATTTGTGAGCACATGCATGATTGATTGTGGGGACACAAGCCTGATAGAGCATATAAAAACAGAATTTTCTGCTAAAGGCCATGTCTTTTATTACACTCTTTAGACACAAAATTCTAGGTTTTCTATATATTCTTACATACAAATGTCTTTCATTCCATTTTTGCTTTGCTTTTGTATGGGATTTTGATAGGAAATAGGGCTACATCCCTCCATTCCTTTTACTTTTTAATGGAACAGTAATTCTTACATTTACATTTTCCTTGTAGTTTGCTTTCAGTTGAATAGAAAGTTTATTTTTGCAGTATATTTCAATTTTTTCTTCTTTATTTCTACTATGTTTTGCTAATTTTATTGGGATTGAGAAAGGATGAACTAAATCTTTTGTCTATTGCAATGAACTGAACATTGCTTGTTATGGATTATTTAGAAATAAGAATTTATAATGATGTGGTCTTGTTAATTTCTAAATTTAATGTTGATCATCTTCTTGGTTACCTAAGGAATTGAGAATCTAAAACTTGTTTAGAACCAATCAACCAAGGAATTGGTATTAAGTATTGTAGAAAATCTGGTTTTAGATTGGATTGTAAACTGTGTTATATATATTTTTTTATGCAATGGTAAAGGATTAAGTGATTCTGAACTCAACCCACTTCTTAATTAATTTAAAACTCATTTTCATTCCTTTACTTAGTTACATTCTGCAGTTTAGTTTCATTTATAATCAATCCCTTACATCTGAATTTTTATTCTTATTATTAATTAAATTTTCCAACACTTACACTTCATTTTTACATTCTGTTCATTATCTAAAATTCTCGTTTACATTCTCACTCTGTTTTATGACCTAACTAGTAATATTCTTGTGGTTTGATACTTAACATTAATCTCAGTATACGATAAAATCTATTTTGTTACTGTAAATAATTTGGTACACTTGCCAATTTGTTTATCAATTCTCACTTGAGCGAGCTGATTTTCACTTAAACGAGCTCGATTCTCGCCTGAGTGAGAAAATCAGACAATGATTTTACTCAATTATCTAGTATTCTTGCCTGATTGAGAAGTATTCTCGCTTGAGCAAGAATAAGTCCAGAGAGCTCCCTATTTTTCTAAGATTACATGCCTAGGCGAGAGGACAGTTGGGACAACTTTATCCTATCTTACTTGAGCGAGGGTGCTCTGAAATGGTTGGCCCAAAAACCTTGTTTCGCTTGAGCGAGACATATCTCGCTTGAGCGAGAAACCTTGCACCAAAATTCCTATTTTTCCATACAAAGGCAGCAAAATTAATGGTATTAAACATCACTTATTTGCTAACTCATGTTAGTCTAAGTGTATCTATAATTATCTGGTGCTATGTGGGATTCGAATCCCTATGTCTCACTAGCTCTCACATCTAAGTTATTAAAGATAATCGTCTTTATGCATTTCTACATAGTTAAACCTCTAAAGCATCTAATTTGGCTTCATTATTGCATTACTTGTGACGCTCTTACTTAATAATTCATTTTTACATAATTCATAAAGGATATATAATATTCATTAAATTATTAATTGATTCTTTTTGGAATATAATACGAGAAAACTTAGCAAAATTTTTAAAACTTTTATTTGTTGCCACTTGATTCATAAAAAGTTTAATAATATTTGAAATGATAGAATTTAACATATAATTAAACAATTCTCATTGCAACATAATTTGCTATATAAAATACAATTTGAACAACAGTAAATAATTATTATATTTGGTATTACATAAATTCAGGAGTTCAATATTTACAAGTCGTAAACAAAATATATTATGACTTAATTTAAATAATTACAAGATCAAAGAACATCAAGTCCTAATGAGCAGATCATTCCTACATCAAATCCTGAAAAATATGATCCTAGTCTGGATTAGTCAACCTAACTAGTCTGAGGGATGGTCATTTTCATTGCCTGAAAATGTGAGTAAAGATGAGTCTTCTCTTCACCACTAAACATAACCAAGATAATCAATTTGATATTTTACAATGACAAACAAAACACAATAATAATCATGTCAGCAATATCATAACACATATACTAAAATCACACAATTCAATACGTATACACCATTTTCTGTACAATATGATCATAATCTTTTAGTACTTTAAACATTCTCCTAGACTCTTATCATGACCAATCATTGTTCCTGTGATCCCTTGAGGTCTTCTACATGTATGGATAGTCGTCAGTTAGTCGTCATACATGGATATAACGTATACAATACTCAGCCCCTTAGCAAAAATATAGTTAAAAGTATGGTCAAGAAATAAGTGTGTGACCTGTGTTATTTTTGTTAGCTTTTATGGCACCGAAAAAAATAAAGAAAAAAAATGTACAAAATTGTGAGAAGGAATAAGAAAAACTCAATTTTATTGAATAGTAATAGTAAATTTATAATAACTGAAAGAAATAGAAACTAATTATGTAACTGACAGATTGATAACAAATTTGAATAAAAAACTAAATTATTCCAAAAATGTAAAAACTACTATTGACTATAATCCTGATCTAATAAACTAAAACAACCAAAAGCAGTTTTAAAAGCATATTATTAATAGTTTTTGTTTTTATTACATTATGCGCAACTATGAATAACAGTCACCACCTTGTATTTTCTCCAGATTTTTAAAATCATCTCCATTTTCTATACTCTCAATATATTGATATAACTATCCACACTAAATTTTCCATCATTTATTCCTCGTCATTTGACTTTTTATAATGGAATTTCTCCACTCTTATCATACATTAATCTAATCATGTTGAAGGTCATACACCTTCGAACTCAGTTCAAATTGCATATAAATCACATTCCAATCATTTAAGAGACAATAAAGCATTTATTATCTAGTTCATCAACTTAAACAAATAACTAAATCTCATTCTTCTCTTAATCTTCTCTAGAAAATTTTCCAATTCAAGGGATCCTCGAGTTGAATATGAAATTTAGCATTCAAAGAATCCATTTGCAAATTATACTAATAGAATAAAAAGTATATAACCATATACAGAAACAAAGAGTATATAGTTGATGGGTTAGAATTCTACTCACTTTGAGTAGATAATTCACCTAGAAGTTTTGGGTGAAAGATGTCCAAAAGACCAAGTTCTTCTCAAGCATTATAAAGTAGAGTAAACATTTGAGAAGAAGAAAAATGATGAAATAGAAGGAAGATTAGAAGTATAAGCTCCAAAAAACTTACTAGAGATTGAGTGGAAAGAATATCGAAGCTCAGATTTTTGAAAGTAAGGGTGTTTTTTAACTAGCGAAGGGAATGAGAGAACTAAGAGTGAGATGAGAATGATTATTTACCTTTTGATACAAGTTTAAAATGATAAAGTCACTTAAATACTTCTTTCTCGAGAATTCTCGCTAAAGCAAAGATATTCTAGCTTGAGCGAGAAAATCAAATAAAATTTTCTACACATTTGTTGATATTTTCACTTAAGCAAAATTGGCGCCAAGCGTGAGGGAATGCTAGACGTTTGGTAATTTCTCCTCTTGCCAAAAGAAAGGATCCCATTAAGGTTTTGATCCTTTTGTTCCAGGGGAAATAGCTTCTCATCATATTGTAGCAGGAACATTGGACATATTAGTGGGTCTTTTCCATCTTAGTGTGCGTCCACCCCAACGTCTATACAAAAGATTGCGTATGGGAAATATTGAAACCGTTCTTTTCAATAGTATCGTTGCTGTCTTTTTCGCAGCTGAAACTATGTGGTATAGTTCAGCAACTAGCCCCGTTGAATTATTTGGTCCCACTCGTTATCAATGGGATCAATGATACTTCCAACAAGAAATGTATCCTATATCAAAAGCTTAGTCTAAAATTCTCAAAAAATTAGTTTTTTATGATTACATCAGCAATAATCCAGCGAAAGGGGATTGTTTAGAGCGGGCTCAATGGATAATGGAGATGGAATAGCCGTTGATTGGTTAGGGCATCCATATTAAAACTGAATGAATCTCTGTATGAACTTGTTAAACAGAAGAGGAAATACAAAATTATGCAACAAGGACTGACGCTATTATAAACCTCTAAGGCTCTAAGCAAAAGCATAGCTCTTTATACTGTTGTATACTTCATTGTTCCCCAGTCATATTAAACATTTACACAAGTATTTGATTGGAAGAGCGCAGAGAGGAAGCAAAGGGAGAAATTTTTATAATTTATTCATATTTGACGGAAGAGGAAGAGAGAGCTAAAATTCTTCCTTATTCAACTTTAGGCTCTCCTTCAAATGTGGGAGAATTTGAAGGGAAAAATATATTTTAGACAAGTTAATGTTCTTAGCTTAATAGATATATTTAACCATTATAAACATATAATAACAAATTCATTTAATTTTCCTTTCTTCTCCTTCTATTTCCTCGTAAACCAAACAATGTCTCTCCGGTCAGTTAAAATCCCGTTATTTCCTTTCTTTCATTTAAACTAAACAAAACAGTAGTATCATGAAAGTTCGTATTAGCATAGTATTGAACGTTAGTATACATCAGGGTCTGAACCAAGCTTAAACATACATAGATACATAGACTAAACAAACGAACAAATACTACATTAACACTACAAGTATGAGCCTCACAAGTAACAAAAGAATTGTCTTGGTCACTTCCATGCTGAAGCCACAATTAAGTTTTTGTCATCCCACCCAAAATGAAGACCCCCCATTTCCTCCTTCATCTTGAACCTGTCACAATACTGCTTAATGAGTTTCCTAATTGCTTCTCTAACATTTGTGCTCATTGGTGATGAAGTGAAACCAGCCATTGTCAACCTTGCCCTCCATTTTCCTGCAACTTCATACCGTTCTATTCTATCCTCGCCCTCACACGCAACAATGTTGACAATGTCCTTTGCCAAGCATTGCCTTTCTACATTCATCCTGTCCTGGCTCTCCCTAGGGAGAGTTGCATCAAGTGAGTCAAACACATAAGAGTAGTAACTGTAGGTTTCAACAAATCTCTGGAGAAAAGGCGAGGTGTTTGTGTTCATGTCTTGTTCCACAACCGTTACAAGTTTTGGATTCAGGCTCTTAACCATGCGAAGAAGCTGGTCTCGTTCGTTGACAGTTGATACACTTTCATCTCGCATGTGATGAAGCTGGAATGCAAAGTTCACCACAAGTGCTTCCCCGGGACGACAATTGAGCATTGATGGAGTGACAATTGAGGTCCTTGATGCCACTGCTCGAAACTCAAATGGCAATCCAAGTGCTTCTGCCAGCTTTTCAAGTCTTTGTCCAATGATATTTAGGCCACCAACGGATCGCTGCACTGACTCAGGATCATCAACCCCAGTTAATCTCACATGAGGTGGCTTACCTGGCATTGAAGCAAGTGTTTGTATTAGAGTTATGTATTGACTTCCTTGATTGATGTCAAAATCTATTATGTGAACCTTCTTTTCATCTCTAACCGCCTCAGCAATTGCGCCATTTGCAGCAATGAATCCAAATTTAAAACAAGGGCACACCTCAAATAGTATCTGCATAGCTGCTAAGCGATCCGAAGAAGGAGGTTCCTTGCATCTCAAAGCTTTATAGATACATTTTCCGGATGAAGCCACACGAGCTGCAAGTCCTTCCACCATATAAGCTGCAATTCTTTGAGAAGGATCACCCTGAATTGAGACCATTTGTCGAAGATCATTTATCATAAATGAGGCTCTGTCTTTATTTCCTTCTGAAAGAGCTAAAGCACAGTCATAAAGCATTTTCTTTGGGGTCCGTAGCGAGTTTTGTGATATTTCTTTGGTGCTACTAATGCTACTAATATTGGAAGAATCTGAAGATGAAGACTCCTTTGGTGAGTCATGAAGCAGCATATCTTGAATGGGATTGACCCACTCAGCCATGTCAGGATCAATCTCCATGCTTTGAACAGTCTCAAATATATCTTCCTCCTCTTCTTCATCATTATTATCAGAAAGCAAAGCCCTCTCCAATTCTTGTAGTTTCAATCGCATTTCACCATCAAAATCAAGGCAATCTGGGCTCCCATTTTCCAAGAAATCTGAACTGAAGTTGGACTGATAAGCATTGCGATGCCTTGTAGACAAGAAAGAAGTATCAAACGGGTTATTAGTAATCATAGAAGTTCCCGAGCTAACTCTGAGCGGGTAAGAAGAAGCACCATCAGGGTGAATTGAATTTCCAGATATGCTGGAACTAGATGATTCTATTAGTTCTTCAGTAGGTGAATCAAGGAAGTACTTTTCATAGCTTTCACTGGAGTAAGAGTCTGTCATGTACATGTTTCTGTGCTTATCAGGAGCAAAATTGTGGGAGGACAAGTCAGGTGTAACATTGGTTCCCTTTAGCGAGTAGAGCTTGGCATTCCTATATGTTGTATCACTCAGCTCCGTAGATATAACCAATGACATAGTTTTCCTTTTATTCAGTCAGATCATAAAAAGTTTCAATCTGTAACCAAAACATCACAAATGTTTTGTCAGAAAAATTGCGGCAAGAACTGCCATCAATCAAAACTGCCATGCTTTTTCTATTTATTTTTCTGTTCTCACCTTGAGAATTAGTGAAATAGGTGCTCACTGATGAAATCTTGTTCAGCCTTTCAGAATGTCTATTCTGAGATTGGAGAAACAATAGGAGAAGACAACAGATTTAGAAAAGACTTTCAGTCAGAATTAGAACAACCAATCTACATAAACAGGACAAAACATAATGAATGCATTTGCAAGTTTAGTGCTTCACAGAATAAGTCTCATGAATAACCTGGTTGATAATTATTTCAATTTACAATAATACTATGATTTTGAGTGTATCCAAGAAGTAACTACAATCTCACTTTGCCAGCAAAGAGTACTCAACTTCCTCATCAACAAAATTTAGATATTAGCTTTGGTCACATATGAAACTACATGGCAGATGAAGTTCCACCCAGTGTAGCAATTAGCAAAGAATGTTCTTTCTGACATAGAGGCCTCACTATATTTGGAAGAGAAAAATAAAAATTGAAGATTTGTATTTCCAGCCACATACACAGTATATTTATTCTTGGAATCAAATCAAAATGCTCAGGGAACAAAATCTTTCATATGGATCCAAGATTCTTCATTCTTTAAACTTATCTGCAGCTAAAATTTGAGGAAGTTCTATGACTGAGAGGTTGACAAAACATTTGCTCTTCGAATATGACATGTTTACTCTAACCAGAAACAACAAAGAAATGAATCTCCTCCTCCTATGAACATAAATTATGATGTTAAAGCATAAGAGAGCGATGCAACAACTAGTCAACTACGGTTCCAACTCACTTTGATAATTGATTACATAGATGACATTAATGACCATGTATAAAACGTTTTGGATAGTAACCATCACTATGTGTTTTGCCGGGAGGATCTACCGGCTAAGTACCTCTATGACAAGACAACGTTATTTTAAGATAACAAAAAATCCTGCCAAAGTCCAGTTTTGTTTGAAATTCCAACTTGTTGCAAATGCAGAAACAGAAAAGAGGTTAAACCAAACCCCTTTTGGAGAACCCACCAACACATCATAGAAAAAATCAAAACATCCTTTAAGAAACATAAAAAAAGCAAATTCAGAAACAAAAGAATTAAAAAGACGATTTATTCACAAATAATCACAAGGATTGTACCATATAGTACCCGTTATTAGAATGAAAGACAAGTTGCCAAGTTTAAAAGCATAAATCAAAGATTCTAGACACAGAAATCAAGAGACAACAGAAGTGTACCTTATGCAACTAGAAACCCAGAAGAACACACTTCGACCACAGCTTTCTTCCTGCCCTGTCAGCGAAGATGAGGATGATCCTGAGAAATTGTTTCTAGAGGTAGAGAAAAAAAAGAACTAGGCTAAGGATTTTGACCAAGTGCAAGAGAGATTACAGCAAAGCAAAAGGCAAGACAACCTCTTGAAGGCTCCTTAATATAATAAAAAAATTGGTTTCGTTGGGAAGGTCAGATTGGTGGAAAAGCAACAAATTAGATAAACCAAAAATAATTAACAAGAAGAAACTTGAAGAATTGATAAGCACAATCAATAAAATTTAATAAATACAGATGTGGACATAGGAAGAAAAATAAATAAATTTCAAAAACTAGACTTAAGTTTCAAATTTGAAATGAATTAAAATATGGGGGTGAATTAAGGGGAATTGAGCAACCCAATTAAAGAAACAATGAGTTATGAGCATACGATATATTCTAAAGTGGCCCATTTATTTAACTTATTAAAAAAATGGTAATCATGAAGATAATCACATCTTCTGGAACCGAATGAAGTGGTAAGCAAAGTGGAAAAACCCACCAAGAATTAACGAAACTTCTTGCCTTGCCATTCACAGCAACTTGTCTATCTCTGACTTTAGCATTGGCCTCACGAAACTATTATGGAACAATGACAAAGATACCCATCACGCGAGTTGCAAACTGCAAATGAAAACACTACACTACTCTTTTTACTATAAAAATGTTAATTTTTTTTATTTATCAGTAAATTTTTATTAAAATTATAAAAAATAGCGCAATTTATTAATTTGAAAATACAATCTACATGAATTTTATAATTTATGACAAAATTTAATTAATAAAAAATATATTTAAAAGAATAAGATTCCTAATGTTAGGCCCTACAGCAACCAGTGTAGTGGCAATTGTGGCTTTTCATTCCAGAGGCCATTGAGTCCTTTCATTCTACCTCAATTACAAACCCTGTGAAAACTAAGTTTTATCGACACAAACTTGTTATATTAATCGAAAAAGACAACTCAAATTAATTTTAGGTGTAAATATGGTTTTATTTTTTAAATATGTGTTCAGTCTTTTAAATCTTTTTGTCAGTATTATTCTTTCATAAATTTTATGATATTAAAGATAATTTTAGTTATTAATTAATATAGTATAATATACATGTTACTAATTATTTTAAATTGATATATGATGCAATTATCAAATGATGGCAGAGATTATTTAAAATTTTTTAAAATATATTATTTATTATTTATTTTGATAATATTATGGAAGTTTCAGTATTTGATAAATCTCATACAATACCCCAAATTTCTTTTTCAAAATAAATTTTATGTGTTTTTTTAAATAATTTTTTTCATCATGCCATCTTCTAATTGTCCATCTTGCTTCACAAAGTAGTAGTTACTTAGAAGTAGTAATACATAATAATTTTACAGTATATTAGAGTATTTAAGTTATATCCTTATTGTAGAAAAAAGCCCCGTTACTAAATGAATACCTATATATATATATATATATAATTTATTATTAATATTTTAATTAAATATATAATTTGATGTATCTGGTATTTTGATAATGAATAAAATAAAATATTAATTAAAAATGAAACATTTCAAATGAAAACATTTATTTTTTTCAAAATGTAATTAATATAACATATATCTAAATATATTTATCAATCTCTTTTCATGTAAAATATGATTTATAATTCTTACACGAGAATGCTTTAAGAGCTATATTAATGAGAACGTTTGTAAAAATTAATTCTCATCCTTATTATACTACATGACTTTTTTATTAAGTATTTAATTTCTTAATTAAATATTTATTTTAATATTATTTTTTAAAATTTATAATATTTATTAAATTTTAAAATAATAACATCCGAATATAATGCATAAAATATTACTAATTACTAATATATATATATATATATATATATATATATATATATATATCAGATTTTATTTTTATTTTTTTGTCGTATAAGAGAGTTTAGGTAAGTTTAATTCTAGAAGCTGACTGTGAAGGATTTGAACCTTTATTCCTGTAAAATACGAATCAAATCCTTACTAATCGGTCCAATCTTGGTTGACAAATCTTATTTATTATATGTATTGGTTTTATAAATATAAAATTCATTACAATTTGCATGAATAAAAGGTTGAGTGTTTTAATTAATTTGATTAAAATATATATATATATATATATATATATATATATATATAATATTTTGCTGCGTCATTTCACATCAAAATGCTAAAAACAAACGAGTGGGACTAGACATTATAACAGTGTAGCAAACGACCGAGGCACTTGTTTGGTTATATCTTGAAATGATTCAATCGTGGCCAGTGACGTACATTCTTTCATCATATCTCCACCGCACGTTATGTGTTTGTTTTATTTTAAGCTTATTTTACTTTTATGTGAACGTTGTGTTTCTCTTTTCGAGGGCGCGGAATATGGGAATAAAATTTAACTACGGTGTGGATGTTCGATTTTTATTTTTATTTTTATTTTTTAGTTTTACATAAAACAATATTCAATTAAAAGCTTATCTTTATTTTATTTTGAAGAATGAAATAAACTAATGAAAGCAGAAGGAGGAATGAACTTTTGACACCGAAATTTCTAAAAGTGAAAATGGGAAATGGTTGTACTTTTTGACGAAGTCAGAGTTGCGTAAGTCGTCTCCTTTTCCTAGTTCAAACCTTATTGCTACCAACACCAATATTGGTGGGAAAAGTTGGACAATTTTCTTTCCCTTTTTTGCTACCGCGTGAGATCTTCAAAGAGCATGCGACTAGAAAATGACATAAAAGCCCTCTTCCCATGATTTCAACAAGGATGAAAATAACATGTTCTTGGAGAACCCATTTAGTTTATTGTCTCATTTGTATAAAATAATTACAATGCTAACTTACCTGTATGTGCATGTAGCGGGGGAGGGACAAGTGTAACCAATGGTGTTGTGACTTCAAGTGTGAAATGAATCAAACATGTCATCAATCACATACGTCTTTTTTATTGGTATTAAGTGGAAATTGTAAGCGTCCAAGAGATTAACATCCACACAAGTTTTATTTACTACTAATTAAGTCTTTATCCTTTCCCTTTCGTCTTATCCAAACGGACCAAACCCAAGCGAGTTAGAATGCCGCCGCACAAGAAAATTATTGAAATGTTGAATAATCAACAACTTACATTCTTTGCTCCATTTTATTTAAGTACCTTCAGTTGTATCTAACATATTTTCATCATATCAGATACGAAATGTTTAGACATGTACAGTATTCATTACATTTGGTGACTTGTAAAGTAAATATAATGACAATTCAAATAAACTAGAAGTAGAGGCTCAATAATATATCTTTTTTATATCTTGAATTAATGATTAATTATCTTCTTTACAGTGTAAACGACATGGAACTAATGCGTTTGGGAAGAGGGGAATTGGGTAGTGTTGGGTTTGGGGACATTGAAATATCTTTGGTTTTTCCTTATAACAAAACAAAGGCGACCACAGAGACATAGGGACACGGTTTTCAGCAATAGAAATATAAAATCCTTAGCCTTCATGATTGAAGAATTGAGTTATACCTAACCAAAGAAATTAAATACGCATTTAGACCATTATTTAAATCAAAGTCGTTGAGAATAAGAAAGAAATCACATGGAAATTAGATTGCATCTTCCATTTATAACGTGGAAATTTGCAAGCACCGCGTATAGAGTGAGCAATCTTCTTTTCTACTGTTGTTTCTTATGTCAGGGTATTGTTTATTGCTTTTTTTTTACTGACTTACTTCTTAACAGTATTTGAGTACATTTTGTAAAAGTATTTTAAAATAAATATTTTTTCGTGTTAAATTTATGATATTAATTATTTGATCTAAGTTTTCTTAGCAAAACATGTTCATTAAAAAGAATTGCAAATCCGAGAGACTTTGTTATCTAGAAGTAGTCATCAAAATATTTTAACGCATAAAAAAGATGAATCTCCTAAGCACTAAATTAAATATAAATATATTACAAAGATTATTCTCTAAGAAGACATTCAAAAGCTTACAAAATCAATTAGAGTAAAGATTTTTGTGCTCAAGAAGACTTCAAGAAAGTTTCAAAAGATTAGTTGGAGACCATTGTTAGAATGGTTCATCAGATAGAATAAACTTACCTAACAACTTACTAAATGTATTTTTTTAATATGTAACAAAGTAGAAAATAACAACCTCTAGTATTCAAGATTAGTTATGTCAAAAAATACTTACAACTGCACAACTACTATAAACGACTACCTGAATCATTGAAGCATTATAAATGGACATAAAACTCAAATTTAAAAACAAAATGTGACAAAAAGAGTTAACTTCTAAAATCTTATTGTTGAAATATTCTAAATGTCCTTTGTGGACATCTTGTATTTTCTTTGTACTCTGCATATATTTGGCTCACATACTTAGCTTTGATTGAAAACCAATTATCCATTATTTTAGTGATTTACGATTGGAAAAACAAAATCACTACAATAATTTTGCAGAATATAGATAAATTTTTAAAAGATTATCGATAAATTTTAATGTTATAGATAAATTTACAGATAGATAAGACTCTCTTTTTTTCTGGTCTATAAGTCATATCAAAGTATTTTTACTCCCGTCTGTAATTTATAGATAGTTTTGATTTTCTAAAAAATTACAAACGAATTTATTTGTTTGTAAATTATTAAAAATAGTCTAAATTTTTTTAATTTTTAGACAAATTTTACCATATGTAAAAGTATTTATTATAAACAAATTTTACATTTGTAAAGTTACAAAAGGATTAATAAATTTATAATAATTTTTGTATATTTTATAGACAAATTTATCATCTATAATTAATAAATATCCATCAATGTTTTGACTTTTTCTTTTCTGTTGTTTACTTTTATAATTCATCATTGCTAATTATCATAATAATTAAGTAAATATAAGAAAAATTATAAAATAAAAATTTAAATTTCCAAAAACAATTGAAAAAGTTATAAATTAAAATCATTATAATAATAGAAGTAAAAATTCCCAATAAAAATGTGAAAAATAAAACAACAAAGTATGAAATAATACAAAAATAATCACGAGTAGTTAGCGTTATTAATATTTGTATCGCTATCATCATCGGTACTGTTGTCTATAAGGCCTTGGTTTGTATGTGTTGAAAATGATAAGACTTGAGAGTAATGTTGCCATTAATGAATGTATTTACCTTGTCTTATTGCATTGATTGTTGAATTATAACTGAATGTGCTGTGTGTTGAGCTAATGTGGATATATATATATATATTGGTTAGTGGCTGAGTTTGAAATGAGAGAAATAGCCTAAGTTCTGGTGTAGGGCCTCCTTGCTATAGTGAGGGGATTCTCGCTGTAGCGAGAGGTCTCAGGGAGAAAGGCCTACACCTGTCGCCTTCTCGCTGTAGCGAGAGAACGACAGCTCAGGCTGTATTTCTGGGTGCAGTCTCGCTGT